GGCAAGTGTGCGCGGGGTGATGTGGGAAACTGGAAAATTCTGAGGTGTGTGGGTGGGGATGGAGAAGAGTGTCATGTCATGTCATGTCATCATCATGTCAGCAGGAGAAAAGGGATTCTTTAGGGAGAAATGCTCTATGTTCGGCAAGTCGAGTCAAAAGACTCCCCAGCCTTGACAGACCAACACCTGCATCCGAGCCAGTTTTCCCGGCCGTTTTCCTGGGCCGAACCTTGTCCTTGGGTCTCCCAGGTTCGGTTTGTCAGGTGTCACACACCGCAGGAGCCAGACCAGGCCTCGACCATTGGTTGGTCCCCTTGACGGCTGCTGATTTTTACCCTGGGCTCGGAAGCGTTGATTATGGGACCTTGCGAGCTTCAGCCAATCACTTGGCTCATCAACTCCGCGCCGACTTTCTCTCAACATCCTCAATAGCACAGCCATGTAGCGCCAGATGATTTTAGCGTATGCTAGTTCATTAGTTATTTATAGATACCAATTGGCCCAAATCCTGCTGGTACTTTCCTTGGGCAGGTAAGTTCAGGCTGGCACATATTAAATAATTAAAGGACATCCAAACAATGAGGAGCTTTAAAGCGCATTTGCACAAAACCTCAAGTCACAACAAGACATGTCTGGCGTTGCAGCCACTGCTCTCTCCCTTTCACCACCCATGGCATCTGCAATACCTCCTCCGCACTCGGTCGGTGCTTCGGATCTGCAGCCAACAATCTCCTCACCACATCCTTCGCCTCTCCCGACACGCTCACCCACGCCGCCGTCCCCATTGGAAGCTGCGCCCGCCGAATGTTCAACAACAGCAGCCGAGTGCGCCGCCCAGAAAACGGCAGCTGGCCGCCCGACAGCACCATGTAGAGACAAATGCCGATCCCCCAGACGTCTTCTGGGAAGCTGACGGGGAGCCCTGCCGCCACCTCAGGTGCCACGTAGGCAGGGCTGCCAACAAGGCCTCGTGTGGCTGCCTGCCCCGGCTGAAGCTTCTCTGCCAGGCCAAAGTCAGCCAAACGCAGCCCTTGCACCTGACTGAGAGCAGGGAGAGGGATATTGTTGGAGTGGTGCTGCTGCTGGCATGTGCAGGTGCACGAGGGGAGTGCAGCAGCAACACCAGCAGTGCAAATGGAAAGTTCAGTATGGCCTGCCTTGAAAGACTGCTCCCCATCCTCCAGTTGCTGCATCAGCTGTTGATGCTGCTGCTGCTCATGCTCCTGCTTCTGCTGCTGCTCATGCTGCTGCTGCCTCTTCCGGAGGCTGGTTCGCCCCAGCCAGCTGGCGAGAGAGCAAGAGCGCCGGTGCCCATGTGCCCTGCCATGCGCGCTGTCATGCACTCTGCCATGCGCACCAGCGTGGGGATGGGAAGCTGACGGGGAGCCCTGCCGCCACCCCAGCATGAGCACCAGCAGCGGTGGCGAGTATAGAAAAGGAGGGACTCATGCGCAGAAACTCACTGCTTGGCTTTATTGATGTTGACTGCCCCACTGAAGTTGACCGCCCCACAACACGGGCAGATCGGAAGGATTGGTCCTGGGAGATTGAAACTGTTGTGCAAGGGGAAGGAGCAGTGGCGAAGGGGGTGATTGGCTGGGAGCTGGGCGGCAGTGTTAAGAGAACGTTCTCTGGTTTGATGTCTCGATGTAAGATGCCCCGTTTGTGGCAATACGCCACCGCTGCAGCGATCTCAGAGACGATCCACGCTGCTTCGTCCTCCCACTCCTGCTGCCTCCTCCCCTCCTCCGTCATTCCTCCAAACACCACAGCCCTACTGTTCTCTCCCCCTCCAGCTCCTGCTGACGTGGACGATTCTGCCGCGCCAGTAGCCGCCGCGTGTCCCGCATTCGTTCGCCCCGCGAACGACGCTGCAGCAGCCGCTGCTGCGTCCGCAAGTTGCGCTAGCTCCCCCGTCGATGCCGACTTCTCCATGCCCTTTCCCGCCAGCGCCTTTCGCGGCACCCAATCAGCTTTCAGCTGCGACGCCACGGCATCTTCGTCCTCCTGTTCCATAGCTTCGTCCTCAATCCTCTCACTCTCTCTTCCGCTCTCCCCTAAGCGCTCTTCGTCTCGCATCCTATGCCACCAATCGCGGCCTGCTGAATCAATTCCCCCCAGCTCCTCCGCCCCCTCGTTCTCTCCGCCTTCTTCCTCTGAGTTCGATTCCCACGTCGCCGCCTGATACCATCTGTGAGGACTGTTCTCCGCATCTGACGCCACTCCCGTCGCCGGCGGTGACGGCGAGGCGTTTCCGGAGTCTGCGGGAAGGAAACCGACAGGCGAGCGATCTCCCCCAGCAACGACGCGCGCTGAGGGTCGAGCATCTCGGCAGGCGTGCAAAGGGCACGGGGTGATGCCCGAAGCGGAAACTGCGGCCAAAGAGGCGGCGGCAGAAGTGGCGGCGGCGGAGGTGGTGGCGTTCGCGGCGGTAGCGGCGGCCAAGGTGGCGACTTGGCCGCGGCGGCGTTTCTCGAGGAATTCGGCGAGCGAGCCGCCGCGGCAGAGCTGCATGACGATGTGGAAATGCTGTCGACCCTCCACCACAGATAGCACCTCCACCACGTTACCCTGCCCCGCTGCTAAAACCGCCGCATCAGTAGCTACAGCCGCTTCGGGTACAGCCGATTCAGCTATAACGGTTTGATTCGTCGATACAGTCCGATCCGGCTCGTCAGCCTGACCGGCTGTAGCCGATCCGAGAAGGAGGCTGATTTCAGCTTCCGATTCGACCAGCCGCTGCTGCCGGGCCACGTCAGCCTCGGTCACCTTGGTTCGGATTAGCGACGGAAGGGCGCTCTGGCGCGCTTTAGGGATGCTCTTAATAGCGACGCGGTTGTTGGTGGGGCGATCTACGGCCTCGTAGACGGAGCCGAACCTGCCGCGGCCGATTCGGCGAACGATGGAATAACGCGATCGGATGCTGCCTTTCGTGATGGTTTGCATCGAGGTTTGATTGGCGGGGAGGTTTCTATCCGCGAATGTAGCCATATCGTTTAGGTCTTGCGGCGGTTTCTTGTTTGGGTCTGCTGGCGTGGACGCGGGTAGAGGAGGGCGAGGGAGAGGGAGAGGAACGGTAGAGAGGGGATCTGGGACGGAGGAATCTAAAGCAGCGCGATGGACCAACAATGCCGTCGCGTGGGCATCAGATTGGAATGGATGGACCTGCACGGATCGGCTCGACGGCGTGTCGTTGTGAGAGTGAAATGCCTGAAGCGGCTGGAAGGCCTCTGGAGAACCGGCTCTGACGGAATCAACGTCCGCCATGGCTGCGTACGGCGGGCCGCAGTGCGCGTCGGTATTGAACGTCCTGGATCTACTAGCTGCAGGAACCTCTCTTTCCTAAGTAATACAATCTGGCTATGAGGCTAGTAGCATTGTACGGAAGCCCCAAGCAGGTTGGTGGCTCGCGAGAGGAAGAGACCCTCTTCGCTGGATGGTGCTTGTGGTGCTGGTTTAGAGAAGGATTTTTAGCTGAAATTCCTTGGCAGCCCTGTCTTCTCTGATTGGGCCACGCTGCCATCCCTTGTAGTCCCAACCCAATTCTTGTTTCATCCCAATTCACTTGATTCCTCCCGAAGTACACCTACGGGTGTGACTTGGCATCGCGACTCGATTGGTCTGTCGCATCGAGCACGCGATCGCTCGAAATTCCCCGGGTCACGGCAGATCCCAGCCGGTCGTGGCGAATTCCTCGATCGCACCCGTTCATCCGGACGGAGTACAAAGCTGGATCATGCAATTTGCTGTGCCGAGTCAGCATGCCTACGCTGTGTTGAAGGAGTATCGTGATGACGTGGCGGCGAACATGTGTCGGTGAGGAGATGCCATGACGACAGCAACTTAGCATTCTGGGTGTGGAGAAGCTTCGCGTCATAAACTCATCTGAGACAACTAACGTCTCGCTATTAGGATGTTCTAGTGCGCATAACGTCATAATTTATAATACTGTTATGCGTACAGTGTACAGCTTTCTAGAAAATACAGATTTGCACGAAATCTCGAAAACGAGTGTTGTCTCCGCTATTGGAACAGACGGCGGCGGCCCGAGCCTTTATGCCGTCATACTGTAACGGCTTGCCTGATTTCTGTACAGCGCTATTTTCGGCGGCGTCGCCTCGACTGCGGTTCGGCAACAAACCATTGACACCTCACTTTTGACACTGTTCTGCCTTCGTAATTAGGAGAACAACCATGTAGCCAAATATAACACGTCGAAAACATGATAATACCGAGGGAATGTCCTTCCGGGCAGGGACCTAAAGAAAAAACAGTCGCGAAGACAGCGGCACTGTCAATTGACCCTCTGCAGATGTCATGTCAACAGATCTCACGTTCCCAATCCCAACCACTCGCAGAGAATCCGTGACGATGCGCGGTCGCCCCAACTGGTCTCGTGCACGGTGTACGAGTCGCAACATCGACGGCCACGCCTTCCTCTTTGAAGCTTGTTTCTTCCCTTTCTGTTCGGTAATTACCAAGCCAGTGCCGTGGCTCACCTGCTTGCTTGGGGCTGCTTCGAGCGCGCACATCATCGTCCCAACCAATTCATTTCCACCAATCATGGTGCAGAACGATGAGGGAGACTTGGTTTACAGGACCTTCTTCAACACAAAGGGAGGCACGGATTAGGTTAGGTTGCACTGTTGATGCTTGTGGTTTTTGGTTCGCTTCAACCACACATGTTAGAGCGCAGAAGAACGGTAGGCAGGTTTTCTGGTATATAAATTAGAAGCCTTCTCAGTTAGACCACCTGGTGCTTGCACCAGTGTCTGTTCTGTTCGTCCGCTCGTAAATCCTGGTCAGCCTAGTTGTGCTCCTCTACGTCCTAGCTCTTCTATGTACCGTGGAAATAGCCTATCAACAGAGTGTTGGGCAGAATCTAGGCAGAATCTACTATAGTAGCGTGGGTGTCGCGTCGTGCATTCTAGCCACAGCTCCCTGTCGCGTATATCATCAGCATTGCTGGAACTCATCCGTTGCATTCTTTCACCGTAACTATGGCCGTAGCTTGCGAGTCAGCATCCGTTCGTCTAGCGCCTCCCAGTCTGGCAGCACCATCAGAACTGCGCTTGTCAGGAGTCGAGCCCACGCCGGTCGTAAAAACCCCACAAGACCAGCACCACGGCGGCATTTCGGGTCTCGACGCATCCCTTGCGATCCTCAGCTCAGCTCACGCCGCTCTCTTAGACTCCCCGTGCGGTTCCTCCCTATCGGCGCTCTCTCTCTCCGTCGCCGTCTCCCTAACTCAGGCCCTGCACGACGGGTTATGCGCGTCCGGCAAGATTCGAACCCACGTCTCCCAGTTCATTCTCGAGTGCCTCGAGGATATCGAAGCGGAATTGCCGCACATACACGCGTCCCCCGTCGACTGCTGGGAGTGGGACCTCGTCGCAGGCCCCGTGCCTGTGCTTGCCACTCACCACCTCGTTTCCGAGTCGCCGTCTTGCGATAACGGTCGGGCTATCAAGCCGTCGAGATCGTCGTCGCTGTCCAAGACGGCGTCGAATGCGGCGGTGCGGACGGAAGGCGCGTCGCGGGGTCTTCGCGTGCAGTGGCTGGACGAGGCGAAGGGCGCGGCGCTGACTGCCGTCAGGGAATTTCGCCGCTGGTGCGTGACGCGGGGAATTGCGGGTTGTGCGCGGATTAGGTGGTTGAAGGGAGCGGGTTCGGATGCGGGGAACTCGTTGTTGCGGGTTGGCTGGTGTGGGGGAGGCAGGGCTGGGAAGATTAGCTGATGAGATTGCGTGCGGTACGGTCTAGCTTGGTTGTGCTGGTGTTGCAATGCGTGAGGCTCGACGCTTTCGTACGAGTTTGCTCTTCCGCTTCAACTTTCTGAGATTATGGAGTATTGATTCTGTGGATTCTGATCTTGTGTTCCCCCGCATATTTTTGTCTCCCCTGTATCTGCAGTGATCATGAAGCCGCCGCGATGGGCTACCGTACCGAGTCGTGCTATATCGAGGATAGTGCCTGCAGCTGCTCGCTCCAATAACACCTTTAGGCCTTGAGATAGAACGGGTATGTTCGTGTTGCCGTTATTACACCCGCGTTCCCCATCCGTTGACATAATAAGGGGTTGACGTCTAAATGTCAGCTGATTAGGGTTGAAAGGTAGTGGTAGCAGCACTGCTTTTATAAATTCTGGAATAATAAATACATGTACCATTGACATTGTTCTTCCTACTCAAATGTTGCTGTACATCTGAACTTAGCCACCAAGCAAGAGAACACATTTCATACAACTTGTCACATCTCAACTTTGCCACCTAGCAACGCAGCACTTTCACTCTCCACGTTCACAACAGCATGAGTGAGGGGCACCTTCGGACCCACTGTTCCTGCTGCTGCTGCTGCTCCACCCTGCACATCTTTTTCCCCATTGTCAATCCCGGCCTCAATGTTCCCGGAAGCAGCTTCCTTGTGAGACGCCTTGAGGTTTGGAGATAATGCAAGAATGTAGTCTATGGACGAATGGGGAGCGTTCCGAGCAGCTCTGGCATAGAGTGCAAGGGTGATGAGCATGGTAAGGACGAGCACGGCAATAAACAGAATACCTGCGAGCGCAACACCCAGATGCTCCTCCGCTTCCGTATCACACTTGACTATCTTATAATCCACATTGCGACAACCCGGTAAGTGGAGCACTCCATAGAGGAACAGAGACATGGTCCAGAGCCAGAGGCCTTGGAAAAGAAACCCCGAGAGAAACATGGCGTCAAGGAGAAAGCAGGAGGGGAAGGCGGCGACGAGGAGAGCGAGCAGGAAGCAGATGAGGCCAGCAAGTGCTTGGAAGAGGTGGAAGCGAGGCTCGAGTCCCTTGTGGGAGATGGAGTGGAAGGTGGTGAGAATGGCCTCGCTGAAAAAGCCGATGGCGTAGAGGACGTGCAAGGAGCCTGGTGGGAGAGGCAGGAGACTGGGCATGGAGGTGAAGAGAGGTACGGGGGTGGGGGGAGGGGGGATATAAGAATGTCAGGAAGATTGGGAGGATTCACAGGTGGGTCGGGAAGCAGAAGGGAGGTTTGGAATATGACATGAGGACGATGGAACTACGCTGTCTATATACGAACATTTGGACCGGGATTCGGCAGAGCAGATACAGAGCTTCAATCATCCATTCCAGGATTAACCAGCACAACTTTTCTTGGACTCACCTGGTTGTGTCATGTACATAGAAGACGAGCCCTATTGTAAAGAAGACAGCAAAGAGCAGGGCGTGCTGCGGAACGAAGGTGCAGGACGAACGGAGGGAGAAGAAAAAAACACATGTTGCAGCCCAGAATGTGAAACAATCAATGTATGCTGGTACATGGAAGGTGAATCAAGCGCAACGCGGTGCAGTGTGGTTCGATGACGTACTGAAAGAGAGGCATTTCAAGGATTGTGCAGCGTCTCTACAACAAAGGATCTGACGCTTCCTCAAGCTCCCACGCCACAAACTCGAAAGCATCTCAAAACGTGAAAACGAAAAACACGAAGCACAAGAATCCTAAAAATCTCACCTCGAATTGAATGATTTCAAATCTATGCTGAAACGCAGACAGCAGTCCCAGCGAGAGCCCTTCCATGAGCTGCGCGAACGCCCCGCAGATAAGAACGTACACCACGAGCCGCACCCAGTGTCCACGAATCGGCACCGGATGCCAAGCACGCGCCACGTACGCGTGCGGCGCGGCGAGGTAAGCGCGAATGGCGCAGAAAAGGTTCCATGAAGCGAAAATGAGCATAACCGTTCCTGCACACGTGTGACCGAGGAAGGAACCCATTCGTCCGTCACGAATGGCGCAGAAAAGGACCGAGGAAGCGAAAATTCGCCCGTCACAGTCACGGTGAACGTCACCCTTGTGACGTCCCAAAACAAGCTGACTGAAAATCCGAGCCCCTGCGGCACGCGATACCACTAGTAGGCTTGTTTCGAGACGTCACCTAGAAACGCGTTGTTTTGGGCAACCCGAACGGTAACTTGGGATCACCGGGGTTGTGACTGAGTTTTGAGACGCCTCCAAGATTGAAATACTACACGGTGGCAGCAGAGAAGAGAGCAGAAGCGTGATTCAGGCCGATATCAGCCGTTAGGACGGTGTCGATATCTGCCAGTAAGTGCTCATTGTGACTCGTGAACGCCCTTGGGTGCCATGATGGCACCATGGTGCTTCCGGTACAGTAGCAGTCAGTCCAAGTCCAACGGCGGTGACCTGTTCGACAGGCAACGACTCAAGCGTGTGGTTGCAAATATCGGAAGCAGTGGACAGCGTCCGGGGCCCTGTTCGACTGGCGCATCAGGCACAGGCTCGGGTACCGGCAACAGTAAAGTGTGCTCCCTCGAAGCTTCTTAGAGAAGCGGACAAATGTTGACTCGGGTCTGGGATCTGCTGACTCGGGTCTGGGATAGGCGCATGAGCACCGAAGCGAACTGGTGCATGATGCCAGCCGAACACCCTTTTTGGCCCCAGGTTCGGGAACCGAATGTGCGTTACCGGAACCCTCCTCTCCTGGCAAACCGAGGCACCACTGATGCGCGCATGGTGCATCCGTGGAGAGCTAGCACCATGCGCGCACCAGCAGATGCGGGGCAGCACCAGCTGGTGTGGGGCAGATTAAGGTGCCCGCCAAGTTGAACACCCCCCGAGTTTGACTAACTTGACCCACACTATTGCCCGCTCTGTAAAAGTCGAACACCTACCGTGTTTGACAAACTTGACAGACCAATAGAACCAATTTGACAAACCCCAAACCACTTCCTCTCGTTCGAGCACCACACCCGAACCAACCCTGGTACCCAAGCACCACCAACGAACCTGTGCTGGTACCCGAGCCTAAACCCTGATGCGCCAGTCGAACAGGGCCCGGGTTTTGATTCTTGATTCTTGAACAGTGAAATCCAGGCCGTTTGCTGGCCCATTTGAATTCAGTTCTTGCCCCCTGACTTTCTATGGAAGAGATGGGAAGAAGGCGGACAGCAACCAACTCCCTAGGAACCTGCTTGTTGCTCCTAGCTCCAACCAACACCCACCGACACTCACAGAAGCTCACTGACGCTCATGGACACGCACAGACTCCCATGGATCCCACAAGACTCTCTCTCACTCGCGCACACCTCAGATGCGAGAAGCGAAGTGAGAAGTCGTCTCTGATTGCACAGGGGTGGATGTTGGATGTTTGCTGGAGCCCTTGGGAGTTGCGATGAGGGTAGGGATGTGAGATGAGATCAGGTTGGATGTGATACAAAACGGTTGAATTGGATGAGTTCGGGATGGGGAGGATTCTCAATCACACGAAATCAGCACCCTCTCAAACCGTACAATACCATTAGACGAATTACCGGATTAACTGCAATATGAAATTACTTAGAGGATATTACATTCTGTCGTGTCAAGAGTACTCTTACAGCCAAAAGGTGGATGTGATGTCTAGAGTGGGTTGTGTGCGTGTGCCCCTCTAGTGCAGCTAGATGACAATAAAATAAAGGCAGGGCTCCTCCAACCCACAACGACAGCTATCTGCAACAATACTACCGGTAGTACCTTCCTTTTCAACCTCCAAGTAGCATGCAATGATGTATAAGAAGCAACCAGATTCACGCCTCTGGTAGTATATTTTTCCTTTCAAGATAGAAGCCCTTTCTCCTCGTCTACACCTGCATCTGTGTCCATACCGTTCTCATGCGCACTAAGCGCCCCCAACACAACCTCTCCCTTGCCACCATTCCCACTCCCACTAGTACCATCCTTTCCCTCCCCCTCTCCGCATTCCACAGCATGCGTTGCATGGATAAATTCAAGAGCCGGCCGAGGAGCAGTGCTCGCAACCGCACCGTAATACACGAGTGCGAGCACGAGGGTGCAGGCGAGGAGGGCGATGAATTGCAGCACGGCAAGGGCCTCGGCTCGATGCTCGCTTTCATCGGAGTCACAGTGCACGGTGTCAGGACCCAGGTAGCAGCCTGCTGGCACCATGGGGCCATAGAGAGACATGGCGGTCTGCACACCCGAGAGGGAAGGGATGCAGGAGGGGAGGAGAAAGTGGGGGACAGCCATGTGATGCGGTCCCATGTGGTACAGCACTGAGCACTCTACTGTATGACGCCATACGGTGTGGTACGGTGCAGAGATGCAGGAGAATGACCTGCCAGAACAAGAGCCCCTGCAAGACATGGCATGCCATGGTGTGGTATTGTACAGTGCGGTACATGTGGGTGAGTGACTGACCTGCCAGAACAAGATCCTCTGCAGGACAATTGCGCCGATGCCAACCGCGTCAAGCAGGAAGGAGTGCGGCAAGGCAGCGGCCAGCAGCGCACACACGACACAGGCGGCAATGGCAATGGCAAGGAGAGAGTGTGGAAGGAAGGAGTGACTGACCTGCCAGAACAAGAGGCCCTGCAGGACAATGGCGCCGCTGCCAACCGCGTCAAGCAGGAAGGAGTGCGGCATGGCAGCGGCCAGCAGAGCACACACGACACAGGCAGAAATGGCGATGGCGAGCAGCATGTGATAGCGCGGCTCGAGGCCGTGGTGGGTCGTGGAGTGGAGAGTGAAGAGCATCCCCTCGCAGAAGAATGCGAGTGCTGCTAGGATGTGGAACGCGCCTAGGGGAAGAGGGAGCAGGCTGTGGGGGAAAGGGTGGGGATGGGATTGGGGAATGCCGCAGATGGGTGGGGAGGGGTGAGGAGAGAATGAAAATGCAGCAGATGGGGAGGGATGATGGGAGGAAGCGGTGGAGGGAAATGCAGGGAGGAGAGCAGCATGTGGTAGCGCGGCTCGAGGCCGTGGTGGGCCGTGGAGTGGAGGGTGAAGAGCAGCCCCTCACAGAAGAAGGCCAGCGCTGCTAGGATGTGGAACGCGCCTAGGGGGAGTGGGAGCAGGCTGTGGGGGAAGGGGTGGGAATGGGTGGAGAGGGGTGAGGGGGGAGAGGGGTGAGGGGGGAGAGGGGTGAGGAGAGGATGGGGAGCAAGCCGTGGGGTGAAGAGAGAAGAGCATCCCCTCGCAGAAGAAGGCGAGCGCTGCTAGGATGTGGAATGCGCCTAGGGGGAGGGGGAGCAGGCTGTGGGACGGGATGGGGATGGGTGGAGAGGGATGAGGAGAGATTGGGGGATGGACGGGATGGGCGGGGCGGGAAGGGGAAAGAATGGGCAGTGCGACGGGTGCGAGGACATGGCCTTTCCATCCCATTCCCCCTCCCCCCACCCTCTTCCCCCCCCCTCTCCCCCCAAGAACATAAACCGTTACATTTTCCACCCTGCTGACCTGGTGGTTTCGCTGATAAGAAGGGCGCAGCCGAGCAGGAAGAACATGAGCAGCATCGCCGCGTGCTGCGCTGGGGGGGGAGAGGTGTGGGGAGAGGGGAGGATAAGAGGGGGGGAGGAGGGTGGAAGGTGGGGGGAGGGGGGAGGATGAGGGGTACACGTGGTGAAAATGGAGCATGTTTTTTTTTTTTTAGGCGCCTCAAACATGGAGCATGCACCATGAATGCACGTTGAGTTGTTGGGCTTCCAGTCCGCGCCGATCAATGCGCGCCGATCAATGCGCGCTGCTCAGTGGAAGTGCGAGGTACCTCGAAGTTATTAAGGTGGCCGGGCGCGACTCCGCCATTCTCGATTGGATGGAACCCGGTTCCGACTCCTAGCTCAACGAAAGCCATATCTAAGAACGACCCCACTACTATAATGTACAGCTCGAGCCGCGCCCAGAGGCCGGGTAGCGGCGCGGGATGCCATAGTCGCGACACGAAGGCTCGCGGCGCCGTGAGATAGTTTTTAATGCTGCATCGCAGGTGCCACAGCCCCACTAGCAGGAAAAGCGTCCCGGGGATGATGTGACCTGCGAAAGAGCCCATCGCTACTAGGGAATGTCGCGACAAGCGGGTTGCACTCGAAAAGTAGTCTCTATCTCTGGCCGTCGAAAACCTTGCAGGGAAATACGTCCAGTCCAGGTGTTTGTTCAGCCATATACCACTTGCTTGTACGGCAGAATCTAGGAATGTTGGGGTGGGGGTCCCTTGATACTGTTGCTCTGGGGGCACCTTGGCGACAATAGTGGGCGATTTGTTTTGTTGAAGTGTAAAATGTAATCTGGATTTTTGAACTCGAACAAAACTCTTCGCACAAAAATGAGTAGGCACAACACCAAGCACGGTACGGATGGACTCGGTTCTCATTGAGTGTAACCAAAGAAAATCATGAATAAGCATATTTTCTTTCGTGACTCATCCAGTACGTGTGGAAAGTCGGTTGCACAGGCAAAACCCTTTCCAACAACCCCGATCCCTTGAATCAACAGCTCACACACAGTACCCATCACCCTTGCACTGCAAGCAGCCCAGTGCATTGGGGCACTAACTCAACCTGTAAGTCTCTACTTGTGCGTATCCCTGACAAGCACACATCCGCATCGTCAAGCCCATTTGGTCTCCACAGAACCCACAATCCCCCCCCCCTGACCCTCAGCTCCGCAATGCTAACCACAGCTGCCCCACTAGTGGCCACTTCCCACTAGCACCCTTCTCCCTCCAGTGATTTCTTTACCCTCTTCCCCTCCCCATCATACCATCACCCTCCTCCCCATCATCCCATCACCCTCCTCCTATTATCACATCACCCTCTCCATTGGCTCCACAATACTTCCCATAACTGCCCCACTAGTGGCCACAAGTGACGACCTTCCCCTCCAGCGATTTGTTAGCCTCTATTAGTCACCCCTCTCTCGCCCGTTTGGCCTGCATGGATCGCAGAGCCCTCTCCCTTGGCTCCACAATACTTCCCATACCGTAACTGCCCCACTAGTGGCCACAAGTGACGACCTTCCCCTCCAGCGATTTGTTAACCTCTACTAGTCACCCCTCTCTAGCCCGTTTCGCCTGCATGGATCGCAGAGCCCTCTCCCTCAGCTCCTTCACGCTTCCCACAAATCCCCCACCCCCCCTCTCTCTATCCCCACCCTCCTCCTCCTCCCACTCCCTCTCCCTCTTGCCTCTCCCGTCACCACCTCCTCCCTCACCGCCATTCACCCCTCCCTCCTGCTGTCTCTCCTCCTCATCCTCCTCACTGCTGCCCCGCTCCTCCCCTCCCATGCCCCGTCGTGCCTCCTTAGCCAAGCGCTTCTCCTCCTTGCGCCGCCGCTTCTCCTCCTTCCTCCTCCTCTTCTCCTCCTTACGCGCCTTCTTCTCCTCCTTCCTCCTCCGCTTCGCCTCACGCCTCTCCTCACTGTTCATCCCCTCATCCTCCTCCCACTCTTCGCTCAACGCCCTCCCCAGCCCCTCCCCGCTCACCTGCCCTCCCTTCCCGTCCCCTCGCGTGCCAGCCTCTCTAGTCGGGCGGCGAGGAGAGGGAGAAGCGGAGGAGGGAGGGGAAGCATCTTGGGGAGACGCAGATAGTTCTTGGGAAGAGAGAAAGCTGCGGGATTTCCTCTGACTCCCCCCTACCTCCTCCTCATCCTCCTCTCCAGCTTCCTCGTCGCCCTGCTCCTTGGCCCTCCCATCCCTCCTATCCCTTCCATCCTCATGCCTATCAACATGACCCCGCGCATCACCTGCATCAGCACCAGCTCCAGCACCCCGCTCCTCCTCCCAATCCTCCCCTGGCCCATCCCTACCGCTAGGCCCCTTTCTGCTAGTTCCCTTGCTGCTAGGTCCCTTGCTGCCAAAACCCCTAGGCCCCTCTCGGATCTCCCCGCCCCTTTCATCCTCGTACCCTGCTCTCAGCCCTCCACGCCCCTCCCCCCTTCCTGTTCCCCTCTCCTCATCTCGCCTCTCATGCGCACGCCCCTCGTATCCGCCCCCCTTCCCCCCACGCGCGACATGCCTCCCCCTCTCACCCTGCCTCCTCTCCCCATCCTCATCCCACCTATTCTCCTCATCCCCCTCCTCAACCACACCCCTTCCCCTTTTCCCTTCGTCCTCCCTCCTGCCACCAGACCTTTCAAAAGCTTTTGGAACGCCATTCGGCTCCTCGCCCTCACTCTCATCAGCACCAGGGGATGGAATGTCCACATCCCTCCCCCCATCCCTCCCCGCATTCCTGTCCCCATCCCTGTCCCCATCCCTGCCCCCAATCCTCCCCGTACCCCTCCCCCCATCCCTGCCCCTATCCCTTGCCCCATCTCTCCGCCCATCCCTGCCCCCATCCCTGCCCCCATCCCTGCCCCCACCCCTGCCCCCATCCCTGCCCCCACCCCTGCCCGCACCTGCGCCGCCCTTGGCACCCCTCCCCGCGACAGCCGGGCCCCTTCCCCTCACCATCACCTCTTCGTCTGCCCCCACATCCTCCAACAATCGACCCGCCCTACCCTTCCTACCCTCCACTCCTTCCCCATCCTCCTCCTCCTCGTCGTCGTCCTCCTCATCTCGCCGCCCTACCCCTCCTCTCCTAGCCTCCTTGCGCACACCACCCCGCACGCCCTCTTCATACTCCTCCTCTTCCTCCTCCTCCTCCTCGTCGCCATACTCCTCCCTGCCGCCCCTATCCCTACTGGGAACCCCCCGTTTGAACGACGTGCCCCTGTCTTTTCCGGAGCCTCGTTCATCTATTCGTCGCTCACCCCGTATCCTCTCCTCCCTCCCTCTCTCCTCCCACTCTCTCACCTCCCGCCCCCTCTCGCCCCGTCCTCTGTCGAACCTGCCTTCCTCTCGCCCCCGCATCGACCGGCCAGGCGGCGGAGGGTACCGGGAGAACGACTCGTCCTGCCGGGACGACCGACGCGCGGGCGGCGATACCGACTCCTGCCGCCGGGACCCCCCCCCTCTGCGCCGATAGTCCCCTGGCGGCGAGCGCTCGCGCTGGTACCCGCGGCTTCTAGGCGGGGAGCGGTAGCGACTGCTGCGGTAGGACGACGGCAGGGGGGAGCGGTACGAGGAGCGGCGGTGGCGGGGAGGGGACCGGGAGAGAGAGCGCGAGCGATGGCGACGGCGGGCGGGGGAGCGGTTTCGAGGGGGCGGAGGCAAGGGGCCCTGATCCTGCTCCGGCTTTCCCTCGTCACCACCTGCATCAGCAGCAGCAGCAGCTGCTCCTACAGCATCTTGTCTCCCATCCTCTTGGTCTTCACCTGTTCCTGCAACACCACCACCACCATCATCAGCAGCAGCTGTAGCAGCAGCTGCTGCGGCGGCTGCCTCTTGCTCCTGTGCCAGCTTAGCAGCTTGCGCCGTGAACGCAGCAGCAGCGGCCGTGGCAGCGGCTACGGCAGCGTTGCCGGCAGCAGTAGCGGCTGGGTCAGCCGGCGCTGGTACCGCAGCGGGTGCAGCAGCAGGAGCAGGAGCAGGAGCAGCCGCAGCGGGAGCAGGAACAACAGCGGCGGCGGCGGGAGCGGGATGACCCAGGAGGGCAGCTGTGAGGCGCGCTGCTGCTTCTGCGGCCTTCCGTCGCGCAGCCTCGACGTCCATGCCCTGCGCACCCGCAGTGCAGCGAGGATACACGCAAAGTCGCGAGGTACCCGCAGAGAGAGGGAGACATCAAAAGGCACTCGCTGGATGGACGCTGGAAATACGACAAGGGAATCGTGTGCTGAAAAACAAAAACGTGGCGTCAAGCACCTAAAGCCGCGAATCAGTACTCGCGGCTCACCGGGATAGAAGCAGCGGCAGCGCCAGGGCCCAGCAACGAGCCCTGCTGCACCCCCCTCTTGCGCCCTATCTCCGACAAAATGCGCTGCTCCGCCTCCTGCAACGGAACAAATCAACGGAATGCAAAGGCAAACAATATTAAACCAGATTGGATCGAATCAACAGAAGCATAGAAAAAGGGAGACTAAGCAGAAAGCGAGCAAGCCAGCGCGACGCACCTTCTTCTTCCTCGTCTCCTCGGCCTTTTCGTCGAGAAACTTCTGCGGGATGCCGCTGACGTTGGCCTGCGCGCTGAGCAGCAAGCACCAGAGCTCGCGCATGAAGCGCGCCGTGTGGCGCTCCATGAAGCCGGTTAACTGAATCTGGACCTGCTTGCCGTCCACCTTCTGCGGCACGGGAGAGGAGGAAGGGTTTGTGGGACGCGGAGAGGAGAGGCAGAGAAAAGGAACAACGGCGACGGCTGTTCTGCAAGTGCTCCGAGCAAATGGTGCGCAGGAGGCAAAGATAACAGAACGGTTACAGGAGGGTTACCAGGCGGAATTGACAAGGTTGACATAAGCCCAGACCGCAAGCCATGGCTGGTTTCCCTGCAGCACCGAAGGTGGACGGCAAGCAGGGTTATCCTGCTGAGCAGATGTCCCTTGCAGCCATGAGTCATCCATCATTGCAATCATGGCGACCCTGATGCCATGGCGGGTCTGAGCAGTGATCCGAGCCATGTAGATGCCGAAGCTGTCGACAAGATCACAACCGATCGGAATAAGCTCTTGAACCGAGACTAAACTAGGATTCTAAACAACCTCCTCGCAAAAAAAAAAAAAAAAAAAAAAAAAAAAAAAAAAAAAAAAACCCCAAGGGAAAAAGGTGAAACAACAGCAAGACCATTGTGAAGAAATGCAATATTGAGATGCTCGTTACAAATCTCCATACCTTGCCGTCGAGCAGACTGTGAATGAAATTGATGAGTACTTCATCCTCCACGCCCAGAAGCTCTGTCACCCTCTTGGCTATCCATGGCTGCATCACCTCCTTCTTCACCTTGGTCATATCCACCTGCAAGATGGAGAAAAAAAAAGAAAAAAAAAACGAATGAAGGAAAATCCACCAGCGCTCAAAAGAGGTTAAAACCGCACGAAAAAAAAAAAAAAAAAAAACAGTCGCACGAAACTTGCCGGCTCATCAAGCTCCGGTGCGAACTTCTGCGATTTAAGGAGCTTGGCGTTCTTGTTGGAGAATCTGCTGTCCTGATCCGCGCTGGTCCCTCGGAAGAAACCCCCCGACATGGCTGCGGCCTCGACACCAGTAACCGCAACGGTGGATCTGCTACCAGAAAAACCCGCGTCGGCGTTACGACAAAGCCTCCGAAAAAACAAGATATCCCAAGAGGGGTCGTGAGAAAGACCTTCGGAGTCGCACACCCCGGAATAAGGAAATTATATGTCTCACAGGTCCACAAAGAGAGGACCTCCTATCCGGAATATCTAAGATTACAGGTCCCTACTGAAGCATAAGAGCTCCTGCTAACAGATCGATCCTGCAGCTACAGAGCATCTGGATGAACAGCTTGTTGTGGAAACGGATGAGGTCGGCGACGGTTGCGAACGTCGCTAAGATGGCGAAGCAAGTTCCGGCGAGGAAAGGCTGTTGGAGATTTCGACACAATTTGGATACTCGCCATATTGACCCACTTCGTATAATCCGGTGTAGGGGCGGAAAGTTACAAGAGCAAAAAGGTAAAGACTACATAATAAACTCATATGAAATGGAGAGTTAAAATGGTTTCACTCTGATGCTACCCTAGCTTGTGCATGTCCCACAGGATCATGAATCTCAACAAAGGCTAAGCTATCCTTCGCATCCAACCACGTCCATTTCTCCTCAGGCACACCCGTGACACAAAAATCCGAGCACTGAACCCCACCTTCAACCTTACAACTCGGCTTCGTCGCGTTCCCACCGGCCCATTCCGCGGAAAGAACAGCCTTGCCGCCCGGGCAAACAGTAGGCGCGGCAACGGCTTGCGGGGTTTCCATGGCTCTAGCGGCGTACTTGGCGAGGAGCACGGCCCAGTAGTGGACTCGGCTTTGCCACGTGCACACGTGGGAGGCGAGCTCGTTTGCGTTGAGCAGCATGGTGTGCACTGCGTCGTCGTGCTGCCTCATCCACTCCACTGCTGCCACCACGTCCGTGAAGCTGCATGCATGGAAAGGGCATGGAGCGCAGGGAATGCATAATTCCCTGCGCATCGAGAGCAAGCAATTCTTTAACGGGCATTGACACAAAGACTGCACTGACCTGTGTGTAACGGGGATGTAGTGTACTCCGGGCAGCATGAGTGGCTCGAAATACTGCATGAAGCCCGACTGGTGGCGAATAATGGCCTGCTGGCCACTCAGAGCGCGACACGTGTCACGAGAGCCCACCATCTCATCCACCACAACCACGTACTTGAATGCGCTCTCCTTCACCCCCTCCTCCAGCTCCTCCGCCAACACAAAGCCGTTCCTAAGAAGAAGAGATGGGGAGGGGAATGGAGCAGAGGGAGGGGACGGGCACAATGAGATTCAAAAACTGCAACATCTGAGAGGCACACATATACACTTGAACGAGCTCTCCTTCACCCCCTCATCCAGCTCCTCCGCCAACACAAAGCCGTTGCTGAGGGGAGAGAGTGGGGGAGAGGGGGGTGAGCGGGGAGTAGGAGGATGGGAGGGAAGATGTATTTGAATGCGCTCTCCTTCACCCCCTCATCCAGCTCCTCCGCCAACACAATTCCGTTATTGAGGGGAGAGAGGGGGGGAGAGGGGGGTGAGCCGGGGGTTGGAGGATGGGAGGGAAGATGTATTTGAATGCAATGCACTCTCCTTCACCCCCTCATCCAGATCCTCCACCAACACTAAGCCGTTATTGAGGGGAGAGAGGTGGGGGAGGGAAGATGGAGCAGGGGAAGGGGAAGGGGAAGGGGAAGGGAAGGGAAGGTAAGGGCACATAGAATGACACCACTGTATCATCCGAGAGTGGGAGCGGCGGGCATACAGCAGGTTGGAATGTAGTTCAAAGCTGGAACCATTGAAGGCATGTGAACCAACTCAATGCCACATCGGTCAGATGCACTTTCTCACATGGCACTTTCTCACATGGCACTTTCTCACATGGCACTTTCTCACATGGCATGGCACTGTCTCAAAACGGACATCACACGGCACAGACACACCACCTGTGCACCGCACTGAACCACTCACTTCTTGAGCATATCTTTAGGGTCGGCCAGGTCTATCGGGCCGAAGCTGGAGATCCGTGCGTCGAGCAGGTCCGGGCGAGAGTCGGAGGTTCGGTGCAGGCGCAGGCGGAAGCTGGAGGCCCAGTTGTATGGCTTCAGCTGGAACTCAAACCCGCTGCCGCGCCACACCGCCCTGCCTTCCTTCTGTGGCAGGTGCACACAGAGGGAAGTGGCACAGAGGGGGTCGGTGTAAGGAAGCTGCACACCCACTTGCAGTGCTTCGACTGGAACCCAACCCACTCCCCCGCCACACCGCCCTGCCCTCCTTCTGTGCCAGATACACAGCAGAGGGCGGGGGCACAAAGGGGCCTTCTAGAGGAAGCTGGACGCCCAGTTGTACGGCTTCAGCTGGAACTCAAAGCCGCTGCCCCGCCACACCGCCCTGCCTTCCTTCTGTGGGGTGCAGTGGAGAGACAAAAGCATGCTGTTTGGGAAGATGAAGGCCCAGTTGTTGTAGTGCTTCAGCTGCAAGCAACACAAACCAGTGGCACACCGGCCTGCCTTCCTTCTGTGGTACGTGGTGGGGAGGGGAGGCAACCCCGTGGGGTCCAAGGGTGCCGACTATTGCGCAAGTCTTGGTTTAAAACTTTCCAAGCAGCGCAGGAGGCGCAAGGGGACTGACCTTGGCTCAGGGCACATGCACCGAGTGAACAGGGGTTGAGTAGTCGAGGTCGAGGGGGTCCGGGAAGAGAATGTCCGTGGAGCCGGGGGTCCACTGCGTGCTCACTGGTGTGAGGGACATGACCCAAAAAACTAGACTAGTCTAGCAGTACAAGGAAGGAACACACAAGACGCACCTTGGCCCAGGTCACGTGCTCAGCGTGCATGGGGGGGAATAGTCGAGGTCAAGGGGATTGGGGAAGAGAATGTCGGTGGAGCCGGGGGTCCACTGCGTGCTGACTGACTAACTCGCCTGAGAGACACATGATAACAACGACTTCCCAAGCAGCACAAGGGAACCAAGGGACGCACCTTGGCCCGTTTTTTTTGTATTCTAAAAAAAAAAGATTCAGCATACAAGAGAACCAAGCGACGCACCTTGGGCCAGGGCACGTGCTCAGCGTGCTGTGGAGGGGAGTCGTCGAGGTCGAGGGGGTCGGGGAAGAGAATGTCAGTGCAACCGGGGGTCCACTGCGTGCTGACTGACTGACTAGCCTGAAGGACATGATTAAAACGCCTTGACAAGCAGCACAAGGGAGGGGACGCACCTTGGCCCAGGGGACATGTTCTGTGTGCTGTGCGGGCGAGTAGTCGAGGTCAAGAGGGTCGGGGAAGAGCATGACGGTGGAGCCGGGGGTCCACTGCGTGCTGAAGACTGGGAAGCGGGAGAGACATGACTTTAAACCTTTCCAAGCAGCACAGGAGGCGCAAGGGGACTGACCTTGGCCCAGGGCACGTGCTCCGCATGAACCGGGGGCGAGTAGTCGAGGTCGAGGGGGTCGGGGAACAGTATGTCCGTGGATCCGGGCGTCCACTGCGTGCTGAAGACTGGGAAGCCGGAGCAGCCGGAGGAGAGCGAGTTGTCAAAGCTGACGGGCTTGTCACACGCGTTTATGAATAGCTCTGCTCGCAGTGCTGTTGATGGGGGAGTGGTTGGGGGAGGGGAGAAGGTAGAGGAGGGGAGAGAGAAAGGGGAACGGGGCATTGCAGGGAAAGTGATGGCAGGTCAAGCGCGTCTATGAAAGCAGTGCTGAGCAGACAAGCCAGAGCAGCCGGAGGAGAGCGAGTTGTGGAAGCTGATTGGCTTGTCACACGCGTTTATGAATAGCTCCGCTCGCAGTGCTGTTGATGGGGGGAGTGGTTGGGAGGGAAGAGGGGGGTGGGGGAAAGGAGGCACTGAGGGGAGATGATGGCAGGTCGAGCAGCCGGAGCAGCCGGACGAGAGGGAGTTGTGGAAGCCGATTGGCTTGTCACACGCGTTTATGAATAGCTCTGCACGCAGTGCTGTTGGGAAGTGGGGGGGGGGAGGAAGAGAGAAAGAGGCAGGGAGGTACGGGACAGAGTTGAGGTGGGGTTAGATGAGGCTAGTAAAGCCCCACAAGTATGATCTTGAAGCTGCCTGAGAGAGAACGAACATTAGTCCCAGACGTGAGTTGATAGCACGCAGTGGACCACCTGATAGCCTACATCCTAAGCGACAGGCGTACATACATCTGAGGTCGTATGATGCTCTTATTCAATCGTCCAGATGCATACGGACGATGTACGTCCGATGTGCATCTGGACAATATACCATATAAGAACGGAGGCAGTGATGGCGTGGAGAATAATCTTCACTGCCAGGTTGACTCGCTACAGGTGCCTCACAAGTCCTCTGAGAGGCTCTACCCCACTGGTTTCAGGCAATAGCACGAGCTCGTTTCACAACAGGGGATCGTATAGACAGAGACGCACATCGGAGGTCGTAGGCAGTGATGGCGTGGAGGATCATCTTGACTGCCAGGTTGATGCGCTTGAGCTTGCGCGTATCTTCCAGGAAGGAGCCGTAGCGGAAGTACACACGCCCTAGCACTATTCGTACATGCGCCAGGCATGGCTGCATCTGCAGATGGGGGGGAGAAACCGGGGGTGGAGAGGGCGGGGCGGAGAGGGGGACGGAGAGCGGGAGAGGGAGGTAAGCCAACGGTAGGAGCCGCAGAGGAGGTACACACGACCTAGCACTATGGGCACATGCGCTGAGCATGGCTGCATCTGCAGATGGGGAGGGGAAGAGGGGGGACGGAAAGGGTGGTGGGGGGGAATGCATGGGAGTGGGGAGGGACACATGGGCCTTGGTGGGGGGAGGGGGAGTGGGGAAGCGGTGAGGGAGAAGCAGAGGAATGAGATATAGATGGATGTGGTGGAGTGGGGAGGAATGCGGTGGAGTGGGGAGGAATGCAGTGGAGTGGGGAGGAATGCAGTGGAGTGGGGAGGAATGCAGTGGAGTGGGGAGGATTGCAGGGGCATGGGGAGTTACCTTGGGGTTGACGGCCATGGCAGGGAACATGATCTGCTTCACCATGCCCGCCTTCCCCAGCCCCTTGCTGATGCCCTGCTTGCTCCCAGGCACGCAGGTGCTCAAGCACACAGGCACAGACGCACAGAAGCACATAGGCACACAGGCACACAGGCACACAGGCATACAGGCACACAGGCACACAGGCACACAGGCACACAGGCACACAGGCACACAGGCACACAGGCACACAGGCACACAGGCACACAGGCACACAGGCACACAGGCACACATGGGCAGGGGCGCAGAGGCACAGGAGCACAGTGTATGAGAGCACACACGTATGTGGCAGGAGAGATCTCTCCATCCCCTCTTATCCCCCTATCCCCCACCACCACTCTCAACAGCCCCTCCACCACGTGCCCCCACGGCGCCTTGCCGTCATCAACAGCCCCTCCACCCGGACTGATGCACCCCTCGCAACACACCTCTCCACATCACAGAACCGCCATTTCCCCAACCCCACTATCACCCCCGATTTCAAACCTCGCCCTCACCGCCCCCTCCTCTTCCCCTCCCCCCTTGTCCACTCACATCAATCCGCACCCACGAAGCCAGGAACCTCTCTGCCAGCCGAGCAAACGCGAGAGTAAGTCGGTTACCCGTGCTGAGCGTGCCCGCCGTCAGCAACCCCTCCACCACGTGCCCCCACGGCGCCTTCCCGTCGTCCTCCCCCTCCTCCGCCGCCACCACCTTCCCCAGCGCCTGGTACCGCGCGGGCGTGTAAAACTCCGCCTCCCCCACCCTCCCCCCGTCCGCGTCCGACGCAAACGCGTGTCGCCTATCCCATGAGGAGGAGGACGAGGAGGAGGAGGAGCGAGAGACGAGGTCGAGGAGCGCGTGGGGGTCGTGCGAGGAGTGGTTCACCCACGGGCCTTCCAGCGCGCCGCGCGCGTTCAGCTGGATGGGGAACTCGCAGCCGCCCCGCTCCACCAGCATTGCCGCCAGCTGCGCCGACGGGAACCAGGTGCGCCTGCGGCGATGTGGGGGGTTGGATGTGTGGGGGGGTTGGGGGGGGAGAAGGGGGGGAGAGAGAGTGGATGTGAGGGAGGTGGTGGATGTGTGAATGTGGGGAAAGGGGGTGGAAGTGGCGGGGAGGGTGGATGTGGAAGGTGGGGGAACGGGTTTGGATGTGGTGGGGACGGATGTGCAGGGGGGGATGTGGGGGAAAGTTGGACGGTAGGTGGCGGGCGATAGCAGTGGACGAACCCGGCCCTGTCCACGAGGATTGCGGCGAGATGCGGCGAGGGAGGCAGGACCTCCTGGGGGTAGGTAGATGTGGGGGAGGTTGGGCGTATGAATTGATAATGGATCTACGGAGGAAAAGCTATGCTGAGTTAGCCATCAGTTATTAGAGCAGGGCGACGATTGCGACGAGTGTGATGATTGCGACGACTGCGACGAATGCGATGGTTGCGACGACTGCGACGAATGCGACGACCGCGACGACGGCGACGGCGGCGACGAGGCAGGTGCGACAACTGGCACCTGGTGGAGCAGACGACGGCGACGAGAGCGATGGACACGAGCGTTCGACCGCGGAGCGACGCGAACCAGTCGCCTCCCGCCTTCCCAGCCGGCAAATGCGGTGGCCGACGGGGGCCTCCGCGGGGCCCTCTGGTCATCATTGTGATTGGCTGTCGATTGGCGGTCGGACTACCGTCGGATCGCAGTCAAGTGACGATGGGATGACTGTCGGATGGCAATCGACGGATCTTCAAGGGTTCGCGATCGGTTCAAATGGGAGAAGCGTGAAAGACGAGCGGTGACACGCGCCGGTTTGCGATCTTAATTGGTTCGAGCCGACCGCTTGACGGTGAAGTAAGAGGATCGCTTCAGCCTCTAGCCTCCGGACCTTACTCACGACTCCTAGAAGATGCTTCTGAACGATGCTCCTAAACAGTGCTTTCAAGTCCCAACATCCTCCGTCCTAATTGCGACGCCTCAGCCTTCCATACGACGCCCTGCGAGCAACCCCAGCTCCCAAGGAAATCTTAGTGACAGGCATCACAAGGAGCCATCGTTGGCTAACTCAAATTTCTTTTTGCACTCCCACCGGCTGACTGATGACTGCTCGGGATTCCCTGCTATCCTTCCCATGCTCTGTTTGTACTACTTGCAACAATTCCCAAGGTTGGTGGTGCTGCAGCTCAACAAAGTTCCCTTAAATCCTTCAATCGAGGGATCTGTGAGGGAAGGCTCGTTGCGAGCCTTGAGGAAGGCTTCACCCAGCCCAGTTGCCGTCAGGGAGACACGGATCGAAATCCCCTCTAACAAACCCTCGGTAACAACGACAGGAAAGACAGAAGTACAGCAGGTAAAATATGGAATATTCGACTATTGCTCATATCAGTTATTACTACAACTAGTAGCAAACCAGGTCATATAATAGTTATTAAGGATCATGAATTCTGATGCCAGCGCTACCCATAACTACCCATCCACTTCGAGATCTGCAGGTTAGTGCTCTTTGTCCTTCAGGAAGTCCCCTAGGGTCCCTCCCTAATTCTTGCTTTCACACCATACTTTATTTCCTTAGCCAAAGTTAAAGCCTTTCTAAGAACAATCAACCTTGGGTGGCTGCAATGGCCTCCCTTACCACCATGTCCAGCACTCTCTTATTGTGCTCCTTGAACCACTCACCAACATTCGCCTTGATCTTGACACGGGTGCGTTCATTTGCCTGCTTTTGCCATGTGATGCCCACCGTTGTCTTGAGCTCCGACACACGCTCGTTCAGTCTATGTGCCTTATCCTCCGCACTTACATCCTCATTGCCATTCAGAAGCTGCTGTGACTTGAGCTCCCTCTTCGTCTCCACCTGCAATACACAACATACACATTCAAAGTAAAAGAAAAGAAAAGAAAAAAAAAAAAAAAAAAAAAAAAAAAAAAAACCATAAAACCACATGCAAACTTTTGCAGTTCCTGCAAAGGTTTTGAAATCCTCGAGGCAGCACAGTATCAGGCACGCACCTGGAAGTACTCTATAAAGGGCACTTGATGCAGAGCATTAGACCACTCCAGCAGTGCCCCACGCACATGCCAGGCATGATTTCATATAAACCATCACTGGAAAACCATATCACGAGCACGCACCTGGAAGTAGTCTCCAAAGGGCACTTGATGCAGAGTGATCGACTCCTCCAGCATCGCCCACGTGCACATGCCAGGTGTCGCGTCCTTAGTGGCCTGCTGCACGCCCGACACGGAGGTCCCAAACGGCGACATCTGGCGGGAGAACTTGAACTTGATGTTGCGTTGGCGCCGGGCGGCTCCGGGCGGCGCGCCGTCCACAGCCACCCAATCGGAGACCTCCAGGTGGGTCTGGCCCGTGGCGTCTGCCACCTTGCGCTGCAGCTGCTGCTGCTCTGTCATCGCCAGGAACTGGGCCACCTGTCAGTGCGTGAGTGAGTGTGGGTGGGTGGGAGAGAGCGGGGGGGGATGGGTGAGTGTGTGCTTGCGTGTGTGTGTGTGCACATGTGGGCGTGAGTGTTGGGTTATTTTCAGGCATGAGTGCGAGGAAAAAGGCTGATCGTGCCTGGCCCGTGGCGTCTGCCACCTTGCGCTGCAGCTGCTGCTGTCCTGTCATTGCTAGAAACTGCTCAATCTGTGCGTGTGTGAGTGTGGGTGAGTGAGTGTGGGTGAGTGAGTGGGAGTGAGTGAGTGGGTGTGAGTGCAGGTGAGTGTGGCGTAAGTGGGTGTGAGTGAGTGTGAGCATGGGCATGTGTGTGTGTGTGGGTGTGGGATATCAGGCGCAGATACCAAGAACATGCCCTCCCACGCACCGTCATGGGCACGGCAGTGCTGATGCAGTCAATCATCCCATACACGTCCGTGCATGCTGCCTTCTGCTCCTCCACAACAGTGCACACTGCCTTCTCACCTGCATGCCCTTTCTTCTGCCTTTTCACTTTCCATACACACACACACACAATCTCTCCCATCTACCCATCTCCCACGCACCGTCATGGGCACGGCAGTGCTGATGCAGTCAATCATCTCATACACGTCTGTGCACACCCCCCCCTGCTCCTCCACTCCCTCCCCGTCACTCCCCACTGCCCCACCACCACTGCCAGCAACAGCACCCCCTCCAGCCCCTCCTTTCACCCCTGCTGCTCCGCCCACACCCACACCCCCTCCACTCCCAACCCCAAAGCCCTGGGAAGCGCTTCGCACCATCCCTTCCCCTGCCGCCGCCCCTGCCCCTGCCCCTGCCCCTGCCCCTGCCCCTGCCCCTGCCCCTGCCCCTGCCCCTGCCCCTGCCCCTGCCCCTGCCCCTGCCCCTGCCCCTGCCCCTGCCCCTGCCCCTGCCCCTGCGCTTGCCCCTGCTCCAGCCCCTGTCCCCGGCCCCCCTGCTCCTGCCGTTGCCGCTGCATCTGCCCCGCCCGCCTCTGCAGCAGCGGCGGCAGTGGCGGCCTCCTTGGCTCGCTCTAGCTGCTGCTCGGGGGGCAGCGCTCTGTGGCGCCACAGCGCTGTTATCAGCCTGGGGGGGGAAGGGGGAGGGGGAGGGGAGGGGGGTGGGGTGAGGGGAAAGGGGCAACGAAACTTGGGGCATCACAACCTGCTCGGGGGGCAGCGCCCTGTGGCGCCACAGCGCTGTGATCAGCCTGGGAGTGGGGGAGGGAGGGAGAGAGGGGGAGGGAGGGAGAGAGAGAGGGGGTTTATCACAGCCTGCTCGAGGGGCAGCAGTGGCGGCCTCCTTGGCTCGCTCCAGCTGCTGCTCGGGTGGCAGCGCCCTGTGGCGCCACAGCGCTGTTATCAGGCTGGGAGGGGAAGGGGGAGGGGGGTGGGGTGGGGGGAAAGGGGCAAAGAAAGTTGGGGCATCACAGCCTGCTCGGGGGGCAGTGCCCTGTGGCGCCACAGCGCTGTTATCAGCCTGGGGGGGAAAGGGGGAGGGGGGAAAGGGGGGATGAGAGAGAGGGGGTTCATCACAACCTGCTTGGGGGGCAGCGCCGCAGCGGTCTGTGGCGCCACAGCGCTGTGATCAGCCTGGGGTGAGGAGGGAGGTGGGGAGAGAGAGGGGGGTGGGGAGGACAGAGAGAGGGGGTCAACACAGACTGCTATCGCAATGTCGAGATCAAGATGGCAATGCAGAAGGGAAAACTCACCGGAACCGAATCTTGAGTCGGCCCGAGGGGTCGATCCCATACGCGGCGCTGCGTGTGTCGGGCCCCCCTCGGCCCGGGTTGACGTAGATGGTGATGGAGGGGTTGAGGAGGCGGTTGATGGAGTGGATGGAGGGCAGGCTGGGTATCACAAGTGCTCTCATTGACCAGATCGCAGGGTTGGGCCAATGACGCAACAACGATGGGATAGCTACCAGATGGCAACCCAAACACCGAGGAACACTGACCGGAAGGCAATGGTAGGGCGAGCGAAGGACTGGAACCGGATCTTCAGCCGTCCAGAGGGGTCAATTCCATACGCAGCACTGCTCGTGTCGGGGCCGCCGCGGCCCGGGTTGACGTAGATGGTGATGGAGGGGTTGAGGAGGCGGTTGATGGAGTGGATGGAGGGCGGGCTGGGCACTGACTGCGCACTCACTCACTCACTCACTGACTAACGTGGGCTGAAACACTGACCGGAAGGCTATGGTGGGGCGAGCGAAGGACTGGAACCGGATCTTGAGGCGGCCAGAAGGATCGATTCCATAAGCAGCGCTGCGCGTGTCGGGCCCCCCTCTGCCCGGGTTGACGTAGATGGTGATGGAGGGGTTGAGGAGGCGGTTGATGGAGTGGATGGAGGGCGCATTCTCCTTGAGCTCGTCTATGTCCTCCCACCGCACCGCCAGCTTTATGCGCACTCGGAAGAGGGACGCGTGGAAGGCGAGCAGTCGGGGCGAGAGGAACAGCCGGCCCTGCAGGGAGGTTAGGGGAAGTGGGGGTAAGGGTGTAGACAGTATGGGTGTGTCAACTCCCAGCGCACCGCCAGCTTTATGCGCACTTGGAACAGCGATGCATGGAAGGCTGGTAGACGCGGGGACAGGAAAAGCCGGCCCTGTGGGGAGGGGAGGGGAGGGGAGGGGAGGGGAGGGGAGGGGAGGGGGGGAGAGGAGATAAGGGACTTGCAGGAAAAAGAAGGTGAGGATTGGTGAATAAGGCATAAAGAGTCAGGAGGACGAAGGGGGGGGGTGGGAGGATTTAAAGAGAGCTGGGATACACAGGAGGAGAGAGAAAAGAACGAGGTGGTCGAGACACTGAAGTTGTCTTGAGTTGTCCATTCGTAAAGGCGAATGAAGAGTAATAGGCAACAAGAATGCAAGGCCCACCTGGGAGAGGAGGTTCTTCTTGAGTGCACAGGAGAAGTCGTTGATGAGAGGCTCGTTGTCGGGCAGGTCAAATAAATTATGGAAGGCCGTATTCTTCTCATCGGAGATACGCAAGAGCTGGTTGGAATGGGGTAGCAGAGAGTGTTTGGGCAGAAGAGTATGGAGGGAAAGGGGATAGACAGAGAACACAAGGAAAGAGTAGAGTTTGTATTGAGAAAGTGGTTTGGAGGGCTTGATCTGCAATGGTAAACGGAGAGAAGAGAGGGCGGAGCACCTTCAAAGCATGACCTCTTGGCAAGCACTGCCAAGAAAGCAAGGTAAGGTACCCCCCCGTCTTGTCTCAACCCACCCTTCGCATGCACCCACCTCCTTGCCGACCTGCTTGCTGATCCGCTCAATGATCATCGGAGGAGATGCCTCACTCGTACTCGTTAGAAGCACCCTCAGCTGCAGCCTCGCCTCCACCCCCTGCCCCTGCCCCTGCGCCTTCCCCCCCTTGCGCGCCTCCACCCTCGGCCCGCCCTGCAGTGGCACCCAGAGGTCCGCCAGTTCCTGGGCACTAGACCTGACAAGGTCCACCTCGGCCTGCCCCAGCGCTGTGGGCGCTGAGAAGGGCCCGTCGTAGTCAAAGATCTCAATGTCTAGCGTGGAGGGGGGGTCTTCAAAGGCATCAAAGGATAGCACCTCTGAGGGATGGGGCGAGGGGAGGGGGGATGGGGAGGGGAGGTGGGATCGGGAGGGGAGGGGGGGGAGTTGGGGTGGGGGACAGGGCTGCGGCCCTCCCTGCAGCGGCACCCAGAGGTCAGCGAGCTCCTGGGCGCTGGATCTCACGAGGTCAACCTCGGCCTGCCCCAGCGCTGTGGGCGCTGAGAAGGGCCCGTCGTAGTCAAAGATCTCCACGTCTAGTGTTGATGGTGGGTCCTCGAATGCATCAAAGGAAAGCACCTCTGGTGGATGGGGAGGGGAGGGTGTTTAAGAAAAGGGAGGGGAATGGAGAGTGGAGGGGCCGTCGTAGTCAAAGATCTCCACGTCTAGTGTGGAGAGGGGGCCCTCAAATGCATCAAAGGATAGCACCTCTGTGGGACGAAGTGTGGTTAAAAAAGGGGAAAGAGAAAAGGAGGGAAGGAGACGGAGATGGGCGCTGAGAAGGGCCCGTCGTAGTCAAAGACCTCAACGTCTAGTGTGGATGGGGGGTCTTCAAATGCATCAAAGGATAGCACCTCTGGGGGATGGGATGATAGGGAGGGCAAAAGGGGAAGGGGAGGGGGGGGGATGCAGCATGGGGAGGTTGGTCGCGCTTGCGTGCGCACACACACACAGAACACACACACGCACATATGCCCATCCAATTCCCATTCCTCCTTTCACACACACACACACGCCTGTTCACACACAACCAACACACGTTCGCCCTCACCATTCCAGAGCAGCCGGTTGGTCTGGAGCTTGACAGAGCTGGTGCGCGTCTTGCCATTGCATGTGAACACCACATATGGCCCGGGTCACACTTGCCGCCCACACACGCCCACACACGTGCACACATGTTCGTTCGCACGTTCTCACCATTCCACACCGGTCTGTTGGTCTGCAGCTTGACGGAGCTGGTGCGTGTCTTGCCATTACATGTGAACACCACATACGGGTCGCTCTTGCCAGGTGTTATTGAGTTCAGTCAGACCACCTACACACATTCACAACCATACACACTCACATTCGCACTCACCGTTCCACACCGGGCGGTTGGTCTGCAGCTTGACGGAGCTGGTGCGTGTCTTGCCATTGCACGTGAACACCACATATGGGTCGCTCTTGCTGCCCACCCCCCCAGCCTCCCCCACGCCCTCCCCTTGCACCAGCGTCACTGTCAGCAGCCACCCCTCGCCCTCCGCCTTCTTCCCATGGTCGCCCCCTGGAAGATAAAGACAGGTGTGGTGTGGGGGAGAGATGGAATAGGAATGGTGAGATGAGGGTCGATCTTGCTGCTGCCAAGCCCCTGCCTCCCCCACGCCTTCCCCCTTGCACCAGTGTCACTGTCAGCAGCCATCCCTCTCACTCCGCCTTCTTCCCATGGTCGCCCCCTGGAAGAAAAACACAGGTGTGGGGGAGAGATTGAATAGGAATGGTGAGGTGAGAGGGTCGCTCTTGCTGCTGCCAAGCCCCTGCCTCCCCCACGCCCTCCCCTTGCACCAGCGTCACTGTCAGCAGCCATCCCTCCCCCTCCGCCTTCTTCCCATGGTCGCCCCCTGGAAGACAAACACAAGTGTGGGGAAGAGATTGAATACATTCATTAACCTCTGAGGGTTGCTGTTGCCTCACACACACCTCTCGGCACCTCTCAGCACCTCGCAGCACCTCTCGGCACTTCTCAGCAATTGTAGTTGTGCTCAGCACTAAGCACAATTACAGCAGCGCAGAGCAGGTCCCGAACTCATCTGGTAAGTCCAGCAGCGACAGCACAGCACCTATACCCCTGGCATGCCAATTTCTCCCCCACACAATTACGCACGCACACACTCACTTCTCAAAAGGCGCGAGGTGATGATATTCCTCAACCGGAAAAGCGCCCTCTCAGCAGAGAGCACAATGACAGCCGTGCACAGCAGCTCCATCACCCCGTCTGGTAGGTCCAGCAACAACAGCTGCACGCATGATAGGCTGTCATACCACCCTCTCCCTCTACCTCCCCCCCTTTCCCATTCCCCCGGTTGCTTCCCCCGTTACTCACTAGCCGTGAAGTGATGACATTCCTCAGCCGAAAGAGAGCCCGTTCAGCACTGAGCACAATGACAGCCGTGCACAGCAGCTCCATCACCCCGTCAGGCAGGTCCAGCAGCAACAGCTGCACGCCTGATAGGCTGCCATACCCCCCTCCCCCGCTACCCCCCCTATTCGCTGTTCCCCCGCTACCTTCCCTCGCTACTCACTTCTCAAGAGCCGCGATGTTATGATATTCCTCAGCCGGAAAAGAGCCCTCTCAGCAGAGAGCACAATGACAGCCGTGCACAGCAGCTCCATCACCCCGTCTGGCAGATCCAGCAGCAGCAGCTGCACGCCTGGCAGGCCCTTGGCGCGCTGTATGAAGTGCGTGGGGAGCACTATAAGGGAGACGAAGAAGAGCAGCATGGAGAAGTGCCCCAGGATGTTGAACAGCCGAGCCATCAGGGGCTGCTTCGGCGGAGGCTCGGGGAGGGGGGCAGATGCGGAGGAGGAGCCGAGAGGGGTTGTGGCGGGTGCAGCGAATTTGGACAGGATCTGCGGGAATGGTGGAACGGGGAGAGGACGGAGGGGAAGGGGGATGATTGTAACTAGTTGACTTGAGGGCTGCATACTGTGATTCAGGCACAGGCACATGAAGCTTTGTGTCAGCGAGTTGAAAGGGTTCGAACCGCAGTAAGCTTCCTGCGTTTCGAACCCTTTCAACTCTGCACAGGCACATGAAGATTTGTGTCAGCATATCTGGACAGGACAGGATCTGCGGGAACAGTGGAACAGTGGAAGGAGGGAGGAAAGCGGGAATGATTGGTGTGAGTTGAATCGAGGAGTCTGTGTTACTACTTGACGTCAAGTCAAGCTACGGCACAGCACAGAACTACAGGATGAGTCGGCAGTGTGTCAGCAGTGTGTCAGCAGTTGTCAGCAGCGTGTGAGCAGTTGTTACCAGCACATTCATGTGTCTCACCGCCTGGTAAGTGATGTAGGTGTCCTTGAGCCCGGAGCGCATGCCGTTCTCAATCATGCTCTTCATCATGGTGCTCTGCAGGAAGACTGTGATGTGCACCTGTGTTACTGTCTGGTTACCAGCACATTCATGTGTCTCACCGCCTGGTAAGTGACGTAGGTGTCCTTGAGGCCTGAGCGCATGCCGTTCTCAATCATGCTCTTCATCATGGTGCTCTGCAGGACAACAACGTGTGTGTGATAAAGCCTAATTACGAGCACATTCCTGTCTGTATCTCACCGCCTGGTAAGTGACGTAGGTGTCCTTGAGGCCAGAGCGCATGCCGTTCTCGATCATGCTCTTCATCATGGTGCTCTGCAGGAAGCACGGCGCCCATGACACACGCAGCTGGCAGCTGTTGCCGTCTGTGGCCATACACAGCACAGGGGGAAAGCACAAGTAAGGGGGGAGGGGGGAGCAGCAGCTTCTAAGATGTGAGGGAGTGCCCTACAGAAAGCACGGCGCCCACGACACACGCAGCTGGCAGCTGCTGCCATCTGTGGCCATACACAGCACAGGGGCAAAGCACAAGGAAGGGGAAGGGGGGGAGCAAAAACTTCTAAGTTGTGGAGGCAGCTTGTGACCACAAAGAGTGCTCTGCAGGAAGCATGGCGCCCACGACACACGCAGTTGGCAGCTGCTGCCATCTGTGGCCATACACAGCACAGGGGCAAGGGGCAAGGGGCACAGCAGCTTGTAAGTTATGTGAGCAGCTTGTGACCACAAAGAGTGCTCTGCAGGAAGCACGGCGCCCACGATACACGCAGCTGGCAGCTGCTGCCGTCTGTGGCCATACACAGGGGGGACACGGGGAGTGGGGAGAGAGCACGAGGCGGGGGAGTGGAGAGAGAGTGTGCTTTGCAGGAAGAGCATGCATGGCACGACACCCGCAGGCCAAGGCGAGTGGGGAGAGAGAGGAGAGAGAGATGGCACCTGGTGCAGGCGTGATGGTACCTTAACCATCGCACCTGGAGCAGGCAGGCGTGATGCCAACCATCCCACCTGGAGCAGGCGTGATGCAGAACTGCATTTCAGTGCGGAAAGTGTTGCCATACGGCACGTCAGGCGTCGCCACATACACCTCCACCAGATACCCCCCCGCGAGCAGAAGTGATGCAGAACTGCATCTCACCAAAAGCAGGTGTTACTCGGACCACCGCACCACCCACCTAATGCAGGTGTCACCCGAACCACCCACCTGGTGCCGGAGTGATGCAGAACTGCATTTCGGTGCGGAACGTGTTGCCGTACGGCACGTCAGGCGGGGGGATGAGTGGGGGGAGAGCGAGAGAGAGGTGGCACCTGGAGAAGGCGTGATGCAGAACTGCATTTCAGTGCGGAACGTGTTGCCATACGGCACGTCAGGCGTCGCCACATACACCTCCACCAGATACCCCCCCGCGTCCGCTCTGCTGTAGCGCATCAGCTCTGTAGCGAGTACAGACTTGACCAGGGAGGAGGGTGCAGTCATGTAGCGCACCACCCGCGAGCTGATTGGTGGAGAGGTGGGCGTGTTGGCGGTTGTGATGGTGGCGGGGAGGGAGTCTGCTAGGGAGGGGATTGCAGCAGCGTCCCCTTCGACCCAGGGTCCAGTTTCGAGCTGAGATACCTTGCGCTCTGCAGGGAGAGGGAGAGGGAAGGGGAGGGGGGAGCGGGGTGGAATAACATCACAACACAACACACCACATTGCACCACACCACAAACCTCACAACGCACAGCACACCACACCACACTGCACCGCATCTCACCGGCAGTGAACTCAGCATAGAAGTCAGAGTCAGGCTTGAAGAGAATCCCGTTCAGCTCATAGGCCGGCACGCCATACCACTGCTCCACCATTACCCCTCCCCCCACGTGACTTCTAGTCAACTAGAAAGTCAAACCACTCCAAACCACATCCCACCGCACCGAACCAAACCACACCACTCCACACCGCACCACACTGCACCGCATCTCACCGGCAGTGAACTCGGCATAGAAGTCAGAGTCAGGCTTGAAGAGAATCCCATTCAGCTCATGGGCCGGCACGCCATACCACTGCTCCACCAACACACCTCCCCCCAGCGCAGCCGGCATATCCCCCTTAAAAGCCACCCCCTTAAGATCCCCATCAAACCACGACAGCGGCACCAGGCTCTCCCCTCCGCCTAGCCCCCCTGCCACCCCCGCCCCTTCCCCCTTCTCCCCTCCATCATCCCCTGAACTCGGCCCCGAGCCCCCACTCCCCGCCCCTCCCCCGGTTACAGTCCCGGATCTCGGCAAGGGAGATGCAGCAGCGCCCTCCGTGGTCTTACTGGCCCTCACAGCGGCGTTTTCGGTGGAGGAGGAGCGGCGGCGGGGCAGGAAGGAATTCACGGACCGCTGCTTCGGCAGGCCGTGCATCGGCCCTTGCTGTTGCTCCGAGGCTCTGCGGGAGGCCTTAGAGGAGGAGGTGAAGCCAGAGAACCGCTGCCTCAGCCCCACGGACTTCGCCCCTGGAAAGACGACCTCGGTGTTTGCCTCGGGGTTTGCTGGGTCTTTAGAGGAGTGGTGGTGTGGAGGGGGAGTGTTGATGGTGGATGCGTGAGGGAGGAGGGCCGAGGCGGGGGCGCTGTGGGGTATGAGAGAGGAGGATTCGTCTGAAGATTCGGATATGGAGCTGACGTGGCCGTGAGCGGAAGTTTTGGATTTGGAGCGGGTGAAGGAGTGGAAGAAGTGGGATTTGGAGGGACGTGCAGGGGCTGAGGTGGAGTGGTGGATGGCATGGGATTCAGCGACGGATTTTAGGTGCAAGTCGGCAGAATGAGGTACGATTGCCGTGTCAGTAGGTGATGCAAGGTCGGCGAGGGTTGCTGCATCGCTCTCGCCTGAGGCATGAGTAGGAGGAGCGGAGGAGGAGGTCCCACCATTCAGTAGAGGAAGCGGAGCAGTGGCTTCAGCTTCAGCAGAGGAAGAACTCGTTGCAGGAGGCAGCGGGAAAGTTGGTGCATCGGCAGCAGGCAGCGAGTCTGAAACAGCAGAAGGCACCCCAGTCAGCAGCAGTGGCCCAGGGGAGAAGGTCAAGGAGCCTGAAGCAGCGGAGGAGCAGGTGGAGGAGAGGGGCCCTGACAGCCAGAGCGACAGCGAGCCCAGTGCGCCTGGCGCGGACGTGGACGAGTCAGTGGAGGAGGTGGGGGAGTGTGGCTCGGATGGGATCGTTGCAAGGCCCATCTGGTCCGGATGCAGGAGCTGGAAAGTCGCTGGCGGGTTGTAAGTCTGGTCGGTTAAGTTCGGGTTGTAGTAGTTGCTGGGAGTGGAAGCGAGGGAGGATGGTGTGGAGGAGGAGGTGAGGAGCGGGAGTGTGGGGGTGTGGGAGGTGGAGGGAGGGGTGATGGAGAAGGGCGTGGAGGAGAAGGGGGAGAGGGCGGTTGAGCTGACAGGGCTGGCGGTTTGAGAGGGAGCCGCATGGGACACGAGGCCCCATAAAGAGACCTCGATAAGGATTTCGCCTGCGGAATGACATTGCAATGGCGGTGGAGAGAGGATAAGGATTTTGCAATGGCGGTGGGGCGAGGAAGAAGTGTGGCGATGGCGTTGGAGATGAGAGTAAGCGTGCGCAGCCACGTTTGTGATGAATGCGGTGATGAAGGCGTGGAATGCGGTGATGGCGTCAAATGTGGTGATAAATGCGTGAAATGGTGTCGTGACAAAAAGCGTGACCAAGCTGGCTGACGCCACGCCATGACCTAGGAAAGTCAAAATCTACCGCTCACGTGATCCCGTAAACAGGCTGTTAATTCATAACCTAAATTCCCAAAGCAACCTTCAGATTATGCCGCACACCCAATCCCGCAAACACGGCATTGCGAAATGAAACGTCTCTTCCTGACGACATCCATAAGACAGATTGACTTCAAATTTCTTGGTTTTGGGGCATCTCTCAATCATGAATAGCAGCTGTTTGCGGTTTCTGACCTGAGACGAAGGAGCGAGACCGCTCGCTCTTCTTCTTAAGCGGATACCACGTCGGCGGGAGGCTCTTCCCTTCCGCAGCCGCCACCGCAGCAACCGGCACCGACATTTGACCCAGAAAATCCGCTTTTCCTAAGTAATCCTCGTCCCATACGGTGACAAGGAGAACATCCGTTTCAAGGTAATCCGTTCTAAATAGAAACTCCTCGTTCCACGTCGGGTTGAGGTTCTTATACACCGTGCTGCTGCGCGCTTTGCTCCGGCCGACCTGCATACGCACGTACGGATCGCTCAGACCGTTGCTGTCCTTAGCTGCCAGGTTTCGAGCCTGAAGCAGCTGGACCTGAAGCTTCGCCCCCATCGTGCGAAACAAAATTCGGTAAATCACTGTACTCGTAAGCTAGTCAAAACTGCATTGGAAAGTCAGCGGAGGAAAACTGAGCATTCCAGTTTCACGTGACGCCTCACTGGACGACTGACATTAGTAGATGTTCCCTAGGTCCTCTGGGAATGGCATTCCGATAAAAAAGGAACATATATGATCTCGGGAATGCTAACCAAGCGAACAAAGCGAAAGGACTTAGGTTTACAGGGTTGTCGTCGCAATCGACCACCCAGAGCAGCGAGAGGGGCGGTGTACGGTACCGAAGTGTACAATCTAGGGTGGCGAAGCGAGGGAGTGAGAGGGATGCTTTGACAATCCCGTCCCGAAGCGGAAAGCTACCTGGGAGTCGACGATGACGATTGGACGGACGAGATTTCGTGTGATGCTGAGTGAGTTTCGTTTCGTGTGATTTTTCTGAAGCAGAAAGCGGCGTGGCGTCAGGAACCAGGGCTGAAGCAGCCGCCATCTGCTCCGATTGGATGACGGGTTCTTCCGCGACGCAGGTTGCGCTTCTGAATCTCGTGTGCCCCTTACAGGTCAAGGACTAGCTTCGCGTATAAATACACTAAAATGCATGTGGTGTTGTTTTACAAGCCCTGTGGTTAGGATGCTCTGTTTGGCAAGTCCAGTGGTTATGCTAGATTCTACAAGCCCTGTGGTTCTACAAGCCCTGGAGTTAAGGTGCTTGAACTACAATCCTGTAGTTATTGTGCTCAATTGTACAAGCCCTAACAATCTGTGTGCTCAATTCTACGCAGCCTGTAGTTAGTGTGCTCAATTCTACAAGTCCTGTTATTAGTGTGCTCTAAGTACAAGCCCTGCAGCTAGTGTGTTCGATTCAATGGGCACAGTTGGATGAGCCCTGTAGTTAGTGTGCGCGAATAGCCCTGTGATTAATGTTCTCAGTTTTACAAGCCCTGCTGTTATTGTGCTCCTGTAGTTAGTGTGCTCAATTCTGCAAGTCCTGCAGTAAGTGCTCTGGATCTACAAGCCCCGTAGTTAATGTGTTCAATTCCAGATGCTGTTTTTGTGCTCCTGTAGTTACTGTGCTCGATTCTGCAAGTCCTGTAGCAAGTGCTCTTGATTCTACAAGCCCTGTAGTTAGTGTGCTCGATTCTGCAAGTCTTGTAGCAAGTGCTCTTGATTCTACAAGCCCTGTAGTTAGTGTGCTCGATTCTGCAAGTCCTGTAGCAAGTGCTCTTGATTCTACAAGCCCTGTAGTTAGTGGTCCCGATTCCGCAAGTCCTGTTGGTAGTGCGTCATGTCATGATGCATGAGTCCTGTAACTTGTGGTGTGCATGCCCCAAGGCACAACCCTGTAGTTAGTGTGCACGAGCCCTGTAGTTAGTCTGGCCCTATAGTTAGTGTGCACGAGCCCTGTAGTTAGTCTGGCCCTATAGTTAGTGTGCACGAGCCCTGTAGTTAGTGTGCACGAACCCTAGCCCTGTGGTTAGTGTGCTCGAGCCCTGTCAAGTCCTGATGTTAGCCTACGCCGGGGGTCGCTGAGGTGGGTGGGCCACAAGGGCAACGCAGGGAGTGTGGGGTAAGGGACAGGGGGAGGGGGGTGTGGGGGGAGTCCGACGCAGGGGGGGTGGGGGGATGGGATGCGGGGGAGAGAGGGGATACCGTACCTGAGAGCGTTACTAGTCTAGATATCCTACCAGTATAACCCATTGAACTGGTTCAGCTCTAATATATGTGGTCTTCATACTCCTGCCTGCCTTGGCTGCCACATGGAACTGCTTCAGTTGTCCTGCAAGCAGAGGAGAGGGGGCAAGGCACACAAGATTTGAGATTCACGACATGATGAAATCAGATATGATTTGGCGTGCTGTCTGGATATGATTAAAATGATTTGGGTACCCACTCAATGATATGATATGATATGATATGATATGATATGATATGATATGATATGATATGTTATGTTATGATATGATATGATATGATATGATATGATGCGATGCGATGCGATGCGATGCGATGTGCCGTGCCGTGACGTGACGTGATGTGATGTGATGTGATGTGATGTGATGTGATGTGGTGTGATGTGATGTGATGTGATGTGATGCCATGCGATGCGATGCGATGCGATGCGATGTGATGTGATGTGACGTGATGATGTGATGAGATGTGATGAGATTTCCAGTCCGCTGCCCAACAGAGAATGGTCACAAGTGATGCTAGAGCGTCGACTCACCGAGATAGAGCATCGACTCACCGAGATAGAGCGGTTGAGTAACGGAAGCAGCAGCAGTCGCTCCCAGCAGCAGAGTGACTCCCATCGTCAATAGCACTCCCAACAGATGGGTAAGGAAATGTCAGAGGGGACTTACCACATCACAAGCCTTCTCTCTCATCTCAGCTTCCTTGTCTCTGCTCCCTCTTCTCTGCTCATAATCCTCGGCTTCGGAACATCTGGGACAGTGGCAGATCAACGACATAATGAGATGAAGTGGCAAGAGAGACGAAGGCAAGTCCAGGCGGCTAGTGAAGAAGGCAAGTAGAGGAGGCAAGGGAAGAAGGCAAGTAGAGGAGGCAAGGGAAGAAGGCAAGTAGAGGAGGCAAGGGAAGAAGGCAAGTAGAGGAGGCAAGGGAAGAAGGCAAGTAGAGGAGGCAAGGGAAGAAGGCAAGTAGAGGAGGCAAGGGAAGAAGGCAAGTAGAGGAGGCAAGGGAAGAAGGCAAGTAGAGGAGGCAAGGGAAGAAGGCAAGTAGAGGAGGCAAGGGAAGAAGGCAAGTAGAGGAGGCAAGGGAAGAAGGCAAGTAGAGGAGGCAAGGGAAGAAGGCAAGTAGAGGAGGCAAGGGAAGAAGGCAAGTAGAGGAGGCAAGGGAAGAAGGAAAGTATGGGCGGCTAGTGAAGAAGGCAAGTACAGGAGGCTAGGCAAGAAGTGACTGGGAAGCAAGGAGAAATTGGGTAGAGGGAAGCTAATGTGGAGATGGACGGACAGGTGGGAGTGAAGCGGAGTAGTAAAAGGCATTCAGAGTATTGAAGGAACGAGTGAAAGGGCGTAAGAAGGGTAACGAAATGTTCAAGGGACTTACCACATTACAAATCTTCTCCCTCATCTCTGCTCCCTTAGCGCTGCTCCCTCTTGTCTGCTCCCTCTGCGTCATCCTTGGCCTCGGAACAACTGGGACAGTGGCAGATCAACAACGTATGATGAGATGGAGTGGCAAGAGAGAAGAAGGCAAGTACGGGCGGCTAGAGAAGAAGGCAAGTAAAGGAGGCTATGGAAACCAAGCGAAGATGAAGGAAGAGGATCGATTACATGGGCAAGAAAAATCTTACCACGACTGCTGAAGCAACCTCTTGTCCTCCTGCGCTTCCTCTTCTTCTTCTCTGCTTCCTGTGCTTCCTGTGCTTCCTCCTCTCTCTGCATGACCGTCCTCTGCTCGTTCCCTCCTCTGCGTTTGCCAGGACACTCCTACAACCTCCATACAAGGTGAAACACCCTACAGTCCACAGCCTACAGCCCAGAGCCTCTAGCCTACAGCCTTTAGCCTACAGCATGTACTTTACCTAGAGATACAGCCAATGGCATACACCCTACCAACTGTAATAGACATAGAGATAGCCTACAGCCTACAGACTATAATAACAGAACAAGAGTTCCGGCAAATTAAGCTTATCTTGTTAATCCCATCACTTCCTTCACACAGACCACATAACTAACATTCCAGAATTCTTTGTTATTTCCATTCCGCATAGTTTCATTGCTTGCGTGTTCATTATCCCTTTCTGCATGCCCTGTAGTTAGGCGCTGCCCTGTAGTCAGAGTGGGGTTAGCGTACCTGTAGTTAGGCACTGCCCTGTAGTCAGAGTGGGGTTAGCGTACCTGTAGTTAGGCGCTGCCCTGTAGTCAGAGTGGGGTTAGCGTACCTGTAGTTAGGCACTGCCCTGTAGTCAGAGTGGGGTTAGCGTACCTGTAGTTAGGCGCTGCCCTGTAGTCAGAGTGGGGTTAGCGTACCTGTAGTTAGGCGCTGCCCTGTAGTCAGAGTGGGGTTAGCGTACCTGTAGTTAGGCGCTGCCCTGTAGTCAGAGTGGGGTTAGCGTACCTGTAGTTAGGCGCTGCCCTGTAGTCAGAGTGGGGTTAGCGTACCTGTAGTTAGGCGCTGCCCTGTAGTCAGAGTGGGGTTAGCGTACCTGTAGTTAGGCACTGCCGCATAGCCAGAGTGGGTTTGCCCTGTGGTTAGTGGGGTTGGGTCGTGGGCTAAAGAGATGGATGATTGAGATGGACGGGTGGGTCGTCGTGGGTTGCCCGTCAGCCGCAGCAGCAGCAGCATCAACAGCAGCACGCAGCCGCACAATCGCACCCTTCCACCCCAATTGAGTTCCCGCTGGTGGAATGAGATAGGTAGAGGGAGGGGGAAATGGGTGGAGGGAGGGGGGGTGGGGAGCACGTAGGGGGGGTGAACGAGGCAGGGAGAGGAAGCGAGCAAACACAGATCGCAACGGGACAACAGGAGCATTGAAGAAATAACGGATGAATGCATAAATGTGAAACGAGCGTGCAAACCAGCGGCTGGATGGGCCACACAGCTGTGTCGAGTTTCGCTCTTGAAGTGTCAGTTGGAGTGCTTCTCTCCATGCGCCATCTCCAACAGCAGTAGCACCAGCACAATCACTAGCAGTAGCACCAGCACCACCAACAGCAGCAACCATTCGCTCCATCGCTCCCTTCCACACCCACTGAGTTCGCGCTGCTGGGATGGGATGGGTAGGGGAGGGGAGGAGTAGGTACGGAGGTGAAAGACGCAGGGAAAGAAAGTGAGCGAGCAAACGCAGGGCACAACGGGACAGCAGGAGTATTGAATGTGACAATGCGAAACGAGTGTGCAAACCAGTGGTTGGATGGGCCACAGTTTTGCTCTTGAAGTGTTGCTCCTGGAGTGTTGCTCCTCAGGTGATGCTCTTGAGTGTTCCACTCCTCTTGTCCTGGAACAAAGGCATAGGCTGGTGAGAATGAGAATAAAGGATACGGGATGCAGGAAACTGGTCGAGGATGAAATAAAGGCATGGAAAAGGATCACAAGCGACAAATGAAGCAAAGGCAGGGAAAACTGGAAGAATTGAAAAGTGACGACAAGGTGGAAGGATGCAGTGAAAACAGAGAGGCGATGGTAGCCCTTGGCACTAGGTTGGCGAGCTAGCGGGCAAGGGGGACGAGGTAAGAAGGAGACGCGAGCATTCTACCCCCCTAGGACTCTAGTATGAGCTCAAGCCGCCCCAGTGCCATGCGCTACCATCGCCACGCGCCAGAAACCCCCAATTCAAATTTTTGCCCCTCCCATGCGGAATTGACGTTTTGGTTACGAGCATGCGGTGAGAGAACAACGCGTTACGAAAATGAACCAAAGACAGAAAGCGGTCAGGATGGCAAGCAGCAGCAGTCGCTCCCAGCAGCAGCCCTCCCAGCAGCAGCAGCGCCAGTGGAGCTCGTTTGGCGCGTGAAGGAGTGGCGTGGTCAGCAGGGCATGCAGGACGCAGGCCGTGCGTCATCCAACTGCCCTCCCTCCTGGAACAAGGGCATGGGCTGGTGAGAATGAGACTAAAGGATACGGGATGCAGGAAACTGGTCGAGGATGGAATAAAGCCATGGAAAAGGATCGCAAGCGACAAATGAAGCAAAGCCAGGGAAAACAGGAAGAATTGAAACGTGAAGACAAGGTGGAAGGATGCAGTACAGAGAGGCGATGCAGGAAACTGGTCGAGGATGGAATAAAGGCATGGTAAGGATCACAAGAGACAAATGAAGCAAAGGGAGGGAAAACAGGAAGAATTGAAACGTGAAAACAGGGTGGAAGGATGCAGTGAAAACAGAGAGGCGATGGTAGCCCATGGCACTAGGTTGGCGAGCTAGCGGGCAAGGGGGACGAGGTAAGAAGGAGACGCGAGCATTCTACCCCCCTAGGACTCTAGTATGAGCTCAAGCCGCCCCAGTGCCATGCGCTACCATCGCCACGCGCCAGAAACCCCCAATTCAATTTTTTTCCCCTCCCATGCGGAATTGACGTTTTGGTTACGAGCATGCGGTGAGAGAACAACGCGTTACGAAAATGAACCAAAGACAGAAAGCGGTCAGGATGGCAAGAGGGTGAGTCAGGGGATTAAGAGGTGACTTAGCAGCGGTACGACGGGTTGAGCGACGGAAGCAGCAGCAGTCGCTCCCAGCAGCAGCCCTCCCAGCAGCAGCAGCGCCAGTGGAGCTCGTTTGGCGCGTGAAGGAGCGGCGTGGTCAGCAGGGCATGCAGGACGCAGGCCGTGCGTCATCCCACTGCCCTCCCTCCTGGAACAAGGGCATGGGCTGGTGAGAATGAGAATAAAGGATACGGGATGCAGGAAACTGGTCGAGGACGGAATAAAGCCATGGAAAAGGATCACAAGCGACAAATGAAGCAAAGGCAGGGAAAACAGGAAGAATTGAAACGTGAAAACAAGGTGGAAGGATGCAGTGAAAACAGAGAGGCGATGGTAGCCCATGGCACTAGGTTGGCGAACTAGCGGGCAAGGGGGACGAGGTAAGAAGGAGACGCGAGCATTCTACCCCCCTAGGACTCTAGTATGAGCTCAAGCCGCCCCAGTGCCATGCGCTACCATCGCCACGCGCCAGAAACCCCCAATTCAGTTTTTTGCCCCTCCCATGCGGAATTGACGTTTTGGTTACGAGCATGCGGTGAGAGAACAACGCGTTACGAAAATGAACCAAAGACAGAAAGCGGTCAGGATGGCAAGAGGGTGAGTCAGGGGATTAAGAGGTGACGGAAGCAGCAGCAGTCTCTCCCAGCAGCAGCCCTCCCAGCAGCAGCAGCGCCAGTGGAGCTCGTTTGGCGCGTGAAGGAGCGGCGTGGTCAGCAGGGCATGCAGGACGCAGGCCGTGCGTCATCCCACTGCCCTCCCTCCTGGAACAAGGGCATGGGCTGGTGAGAATGAGACTAAAGGATACGGGATGCAGGAAACTGGTCGAGGATGGAATAAAGCCATGGAAAAGGATCGCAAGCGACAAATGAAGCAAAGGCAGGGAAAACTGGAAGAATTGAAAAGTGAAGACAAGGTGGAAGGATGCAGTGAAAACAGAGAGGCGATGGTAGCCCTTGGCACTAGGTTGGCGAGCTAGCAGGCAAGGGGGACGAGGTAAGAAGGAGACGCGAGCATTCTACCCCCCTAGGACTCTAGTATGAGCTCAAGCCGCCCCAGTGCCATGCGCTACCATCGCCACGCGCCAGAAACCCCCAATTCTACTTTTTGCCCCTCCCATGCGGAAATGAAGGTTTGGTTACGAGCATGCGGTGAGACAACAACGCGTTACGAAAATGAACCAAAGACAGAAAGCGGTCAGGATGGCAAGAGGGTGAGTCAGGGGATTAAGAGGTGACTTAGCAGCGGTACGACGGGTTGAGCGACGGAAGCAGCAGCAGTCGCTCCCAGCAGCAGCCCTCCCAGCAGCAGCAGCGCCAGTGGAGCTCGTTTGGCGCGTGAAGGAGTGGCGTTGGACAAGGAAATGGGTTGGGAAGTGAAGGTAGAGGGGAAAAAATTGGTCCAGCAGGAGGCGCGTTGAACAAGGAATATTTGAAACAAAGGCAGAGACAAACGTGAAAACGAGGGTACATCTTGTGAAAAACAAATTTAAAGAAAGCAACGACGATTGGCACCAGGGAAACGAAAGGAGATGGTAGCGCACGGCACTAGGGCGGCGAGCTAGCATGCGAGGGTGGACTAGGGGTAAGAAAGAGACGCGAGCATGAGTATGAATGCATTCTAGCCCGCTACGACTTTAGTATGAGCTCAAGCCGCCCCAGCGCCATGCACTACCATCGCCTTGCGGAATTGACGTTTTGGTTACGAGCATGCACTGAGAAAACAAAGCGTTAAGAAAGTAAATCAAAGACAGAAAGCGATAATGATGGCAAGGGATCGAGTAAGGGGTTGAAGAGGGGACTTAGCGGTATGAGGGGTTGCTGAGCGACGGTAGCAGCAGCCGACGTTCCAAGACGCAACAAGATGCATCGCCGTCGCCGTCGCATTGAGCGTCGAATTCGCCTTCACCACCATCGATCGTCGCCGGAAATCTTCAAAACTTTCCGTCGCCATTGTCACAAAAACGCTGCCTCGATCGCCATACGACGGCGACTCGACCGTCAGCATCAACCATCACGTCGCAGTCGTCGGCCTTCCACCATTCTGCCTTGATCGTCTACATCTCAGTCGGCAACGTGAGATTTCGCCGTCTTGAAGTCGCCTCGTCCCCTTCAGAACTCGCAGTCAGCACGAATCGTCGCCGTAAGATATCGCGATCTCAACATCAGAATACGCCGTCCTAATCGAACGATCCTTAAGACTCGCCATGGCAGTCATGAAAGAGATTTCGCGTCTCGATCGTCATCCAGCCAGCCGGCAACGTGAGCTTGCGTTTCGATGTTCAATCGTCCCTATTACAAAGGCTCCAGTGGTCACCAGAACTCTGCAGGCGCATGATATCGTCGCCATCAGAACTCCGCAGGCGCATGATATCGTCGCCATCAGAACTCCGCAGGCGCATGATATCGTCGCCATCAGAACTCCGCAGGCGCATGGCATCGTCGCCATCAGAACTCCGCAGGCGCATGATATCGTCGCCATCAGAACTCCGCAGGCGCATGGCATCGTCGCCATCAGAACTCCGCAGGCGCATGGCATCGTCGCCATCAGAACTCCGCAGGCGCATGATATCGTCGCCATCAGAACTCCGCAGGCGCATGGCATCGTCGCCATCAGAACTCCGCAGGCGCATGATATCGTCGCCATCAGAACTCCGCAGGCGCATGGCATCGTAGCCATCAGAACTCCGCAGGCGCATGATATCGTCGCCATCAGATCTCCGCAGGCGCATGATATCGTCGCCATCAGAACTCCGCAGGCGCATGGCATCGTCGCCATCAGAACTCCGCAGGCGCATGGCATCGTCGCCATCAGAACTCCGCAGGCGCATGATATCGTCGCCATCAGAACTCCGCAGGCGCATGGCATCGTCGCCATCAGAATTCCGCAGGCGCATGATATCGTCGCCATCAGAACTCCGCAGGCGCATGACATCGTCGCCATGCGGTGTTCTGAGAACACCGCATCGGAATCGCCCTCATCACCAACTCCATCAGATTTCTCCGCTTCGGTTTCGCCTTCGCCGTCAACGCAGCTGCCGTCATGAACGAAAAACCCTCCCGTCACCGTTAGAAGATCGTCACCGTCGGATCTCCATGGTACTCGACACCATGATCAGAAGACGTCAACCACCGTCAGAAGATCATAGTCACCCTCAGAACTCCCACAAGAACCCCTTTTCACCATCAGAAGACGCTGATTGTCACCGTTAGACCTCCTCATCGAAATATTTACCGTCGGAAATGTCTCGATTGTCGCCGTCATCATCTCTAAGAACGACGTCAGTCTGAGAAAGCTGTATAGCCGTTGCCAAGTGAACAATGCTTGAAGGATCTGAAGAAGAGCTGAGAGGCATCACGAAGAACCGGTTTCACCTCGCGAAACTTCACGTCACGAACCGCATCCGACAGCCTTCAGCAGAAATTTCTCACTGATACTAGGATCACCGTGATGCTTCGGAAAACGACCTGATGCTAGATCTTTGTGACGAATTTCTAAACGAACGTAGTATCTAGATCATAAGCAAACACGATTATGACTATGATTGCGATAACGGTTGACGACAGGCACGTACTAGTCTGACGAAACGAGCCGAGCCGTGAGAATCCACGGATCACGCTAGACCACGAAACTCCGACAGAGGTGCTCTGATTGGCTAGAGAAACTATAAGAGATACTAGAACTTAATATCTATAAGATAATATCTATACCTAGTTAATGGTTGATAGCGGAACTTCAGGCGACAGCCATGGATTCTAAGGTACCGAACGAGACTATGTCTAGGAGTTTGAGAGACAACGCAGTGGTTTGTGAAGTTCAGTGAAGTAGTTCAGGGAATGTACAGAACGATCCAGAGCGGTTTTAAGGGATTCACTGAAACAGAGGGGTGAGACGTATGGCTGAAGCAGCAAGTTCAAGGACGAGGCATCCGCTCCCCTTTCCCTGCTGTGGTGCAGGCCGCCGCACCGTCGGCGGACAGCCTCAGCTTCGTGAACCACAAACCTTGGCCTTTCGCTTGGGGGATGATTGATTGCGAATATTTGACAGGTTTCGTGAGCATAGTTACAGCATCTCCGCAGCGCGGGTGTATCATGGTTTTGACTGTTTTGCGCGGGAAACAGTTCCACATGTCTGACAGACGCGCATGGCTATTCCATGCGGGGGGTCGGGTGATCGAACGAATGAGCTGAATTTCAATATAATTCGGACTTCAGTGCAGTAAGTCTAATCGAATATGAAGTTTTTATAGAATGCGAAATGCATATCATGAAGCTGCGTGTAATACAACAATGCCAACGTAAAGGCGCTAAATGCTCTTTGCCAATATAACAGGGAAAATCAGTCATTTTGCCACCACGAACGTTTCCATTTGAAAATCCAAATGTCATACTTTCCACTTAAACTGAAGCACGTTTATCATTGCAAACATAAAAGGTTATAATTTGATCAGAATGTTGTAATTATCCACTTAAAGCCGGAAGCCCAAATTGCACAAGTTTTAAAAGGATGACGCGAGGGGTTTTTTCTTGTTTGGGTTTTGGCGATTGATTCCGATTTCGGGCATTTCGTTTTTTTCGCCTTACCCAGCCTGTTAAGATTAGGAGATTATGCAGTACTTAGGTTTAGGAGAGGTTTGGCAAAGAGGATCATGGAGGAGAAGTTTGGCCAAAAGAGATCTTTCATTATGAAGTTGTGAGTACAAATAGGAAGGAGAGGAAGGGGGAAAGGGTACACCACCAGCAGTTGAACCTAATATCTAACTAATACACTAGCAAGCTGTAGGCAGTTATAACAGGATATGCAAATATACTTCAACACACCCCCGTAACTACATACGGCTATAGCTAGTGGTGTCTAGCACCAGGTCGCCTGGAGAGCGGTTGCTGTAGCTGGGATAGGCACAGAAACAGCGGTGGCTGACCGGCAGCACCTGTGAACGCCAGAACGGAGGAGGGCGCGGAGAGCGCGGAGGAGGGCTGGGATAGCCGGAGGGCGAAGGATGCTGGTCGCTCGCCATCTACGAGCAAACACAACTGTTGGTGAGGAGGAGGAAGCTGCTGGTGGTGCACAGGAGGAGAGCGGAGGAGAGGCGGCTGGAGGAGAGGAGATAGGAGGAGGAGATGCGGCTGGAGGAGAGGAGAGGAGGAGGAGATGCGGCTGGAGGAGAGGAGAGGAGGAGGAGATGCGGCTGGAGGAGAGGAGAGAGGAGGAGGAGATGCGGCTGGAGGGAGGAGTGAGGAGGAGGAGATGGAGAGGCGGCTGCTGGAGTGAGGAGAGGAGTGCAGATGTGGCGGTTTGCTGGTCATCCCCGCCACCCCCTCATCCCCCCCCCCCCTCACGACCGTAAACACGGGCGCGAGAGAGAGGGAAGAGAAGGGCCGCGGGCTGTTGCTGCATAGTAACTCCCGCCACACCCTAATCCCCCCTCCCCCCCCCCCACGGTGAAGCCGCGGCAGGGAGGTGGTGCAGCGCGCGCTGCTGCGCCTGGTCGCGAATTGGTGGCGTGGGGTGCGCTGGCGACCGTCGCCGGGGCTGGCGCTGGCAGCGACTGTCGTAGGGGCTGGCGCTGGTGCTGGCGACCGTCGTAGGGGCTGGCGCTGGCGCTGGCGACCGTCGTAGGGGCTGGCGCTGGCGCTGGCGACCGTCGTAGGGGCTGGCGCTGGCGCTCGCGTTGGCGCTGGTCGCTGGCGCTGGTCGCTGCCCTGGTCGCTGGCGCTGGTAGCGCAGCTGACGTGCTGCTGGGTGGGGCTACGGGCGGGCTGCAACTGCACGGCAAAGGGGCGACAGTGCTAGCCATGTAGGCAAGTGGTGGGCCCATTAGGATCGGGTCCTAGGCAGGACCCCGCTCTGATAGCATGTTAAGATTAGGAGATTATGCAGTACTTAGGTTTAGGAGAGGTTTAGCAAAGAGAATCATGGAGGAGAAGTTTGGCCAAAAGAGATCTTTCATTATGAAGTTGTGAGTACAAATAGGAAGGAGAGGAAGGGGAAAAGGGTACACCACCAGCAGTTGAACCTAATATCTAACTAATACACTAGCAAGCTGTAGGCAGTTATAACAGGATATGCAAATAAACTTCAACACAGCCATCCCATGTATTTCGCCCTGGGGATTGTGTCAGCACCCGAAAGTCCCAAATTGCAGGTGCGCTGCTTTTCAAAGCTTGCACACCGCACTTCGTCAAGTTTTAAAAGCATGATCCACGCGCCTCGCAATTTGGGACTCGGGCTTTAAACTGAAGCACGTTGTCATTGCAAACATAAAAGGCAAGCCTTAACAATCAAGTTGTAGCATCTGTTTGTGTGTGACTGACATGCAACACCATGACAAGCCAAACCATGACTTTCCACACCATGTCATGCCACACAGTGCCAGCCATACCACGCTATGCATGCACTGCCACACCGTCATAAACCACTCACAACTTATATTTACCATCCTCACCACTCACAAGCATCCCTCACAAATCACTGTCACCCCTCATTCTCATCACCACCCTCTCTTACAACCCACCGTCACAATTGATTGTTTCAACCCACTCTCACCACCCAATCTCACCAATCACTCTCACCACTCACTCGCACCCCTCACCAGTCGCTTTCACGACATTACCACTCACAACACCACCCACTCTTACAACTTACCCTCACCGCTCACTCTCACTACATGTTCCCAAACTCTCAGAAGTACATGCCAGCCCAATTACATACCTCCCCAAACCTATTACCTCCACACTTAGCTTGCTTCATATGTCGCCTTCATATGTCGCCTTTGTCCGAACCTGTCATCCCAAGCTGTCCCAACCTCGTCCCAACAGCCCACCTCTCTCATAGCGCCCCCCTCTCCTCACACTCACCCGCCCAAAGGGTTTCACTCCAACCCCCTCACCTCCCACTCACCAACCCAAGGGGTTCCAGCCCCCTTTCCTATCTCTCACCAACCCAAGGGGTTCCAGCCCCCTTTCCTATCTCTCACCAACCCAAGGGGTTCCAGCCCCCTTTCCTATCTCTCACCAACCCAAGGGGTTCCAGCCCCCTTTCCTATCTCTCACCAACCCAAGGGGTTCCAGCCCCCTTTCCTATCTCTCACCAACCCAAGGGGTTCCAGCCCCCTTTCCTATCTCTCACCAACCCAAGGGGTTCCAGCCCCCTTTCCTATCTCTCACCAACCCAAGGGGTTCCAGCCCCCTTTCCTATCTCTCACCAACCCAAGGGGTTCCAGCCCCCTTTCCTATCTCTCACCAACCCAAGGGGTTCCAGCCCCCACCATCAGTCACGAGCATCTTGCTCCCATCCACCTACCCCATTCGCCCACCTTTGGGGAATTCAGCCCCCATTACTCTCTCCAACTCATGGGGGTTTCTGTCCCCATCCCTCTTCTCTTTCACTCACCCACCCAAGGGGTTTCAGCCCCCTTCTCTCCCACTCACCCACCTAATGGGTTTCAGCCCCACCCAAGGGATTTCAGGCCCTTCTCTTTCACTCACCCACCCAAGGGGTTTCAGCCCCTTCTCTTTCACTCACCCACCCAAGGGGTTTCAGCCCCTTCTCTTTCACTCACCCACCCAAGTGGTTTCAGCCCCTTCTCTCTCACTCACCCTCCCAAGGGGTTTCAGCCCCTTCTCTCTCACTCACCCTCGCTTTTGCCCCTCCTCACCTTCACTTGTGAGCAGTAGGAGAAACAGACAGCCCACTTCCTTAGGAAACAGCACCCTCAGGAACTGCGCCTTGTGGGGCGAGGAGTGGTAGTGAAAAATCGCTTCCAGCCCAAGACTCAAATTCCACCCTTGACGTAGCCAGAGCTGACGCGAACCAGAGCCGCCGGCCGGTCGGCTCTGACGGTGTCCATTAGGCCTTGCACGTCAGATCGGGAACCTGAGCACCGAGTGCCGTGCCGCGCAGATTCCACCCACCACACCCCGCCCACAAGACACAACCACAGAGGATGCTGCCCCTAAGCAAGTGACCTGACTGCATGCTCCCATGCTCCCCCCCACCCACCTCCCCCCACACTTCACCCACATGCCTCTTACCTCTACTTACCTCCACTTACCACAGCCATGCAGAGCGCCATGATGCTGAGGCTGCTGGGAAGTG